GTCATTCCTCGCACGGAACCTCAGTGGACAGGTCTTCCTGCGACCTAAATGAGACTGACAGGACACGTATTGGACGAGCAGACGACAGTGTCATCCTGAACCAGACACTCAACGACATGCATATGGTCTACACGCCGAGTAAATCAATGAAACAAGCAAAAATATAGAAATTAAATATCTCAGAATACAAGAATGCTCCACTAAAACACTGGGTAGATGCGTACAATGTAAAATAATTATGAATATATTATAGAGGCAGATACGGAAACACACATACGAACTGACATGAACTTATCCCCAATATTAAATTGTTTGTTTGTTTGTTTGTTGTTTAACGCCGCACTCAGCAATATTCCAGCTATATGACGACGGTCTGTAAATAATCGAGTCTGACAATCCAGTGATTGTTATCATGAGCATCGATCCACACAATTGGGATCAATGACATGCATCAACCAAGTCAGCGAACCTGACCACCCGATCCCGTTAGTCGCCTTTTACGACAAGCATAGTCGCCTTTTACGGCAATAATGGGTTGCTGAAGACCTATTCTACCCCGGAATCTCCCCAATATCAAAGGCTGGTAGTTACAAAACACCTCTCTGAATAATCTCGATACCGCACGAAATGTTTCATTTAGCATTTTTGATCAATATACAAATTCATTTTTAATGAGTCTATAGCACTTTCCCAGTCACAGATGACGTACGAATGTGGTGTGCATCCTGGTTAGGACACTGAAAGTCCACACCTCAACAACATGCATATCCCATCCATGATATTGAGAGATAAATATCACTAACGCTATCAGTACACCTCCACACCTTCAAACACGCATATCCCATCCATGTTATTGAGAGATAAATATCACTAACGGTACCAGTACACCTCCACACCTTTACAATATGCATATCCTACACCTGGAACTGAGCGGTGTATATTATTAACAGTGCTTGTACCTCCACACTTTTACATCACCCATATTCCACACTTAGTATTGTGAGATTTTGTTTCTTTGTTGTTTAATACGGTAACCTCAATCAGAAGTATTCCATTTACATGACGGCTGCTTGTAAATAATCGAGCCTGGACCAGACAATCGAGTGATTGATTTTGCGAGCGTTGGGGCACGATGACACGCATACAACCATGTCTGACACAACCCGGTCGATTAATATTAAGTTGCGACCAGCAACACTTACAAGGAACATAAGTGATTGATTGGAGCCTATTTTATCCCTGGGGTATTGCAAGACCTAGAATTTGTAAAAAATGAAAACTTGGGGCGGTTAGTCACGGATGATGTGGGTTTCTGGATGTCTGAGATTTTAAAGACAGTCACACACCGTTGTGTCGAATTTTGTCTCGATGTTTGGTTTGGTTTGTTTGTTGTTTAACGCCGCATTTAGCAATATTCCAGCTATATGACGACGGTCTGTAAATAATCGAGTCATTGATCCACGCGATTGGGATACAATGACATGCATCACCAAAGTCAACGAGCCTGACCACCCGACCCCGTTAGTCGCCTCTTACGACAAGCATCGTCGCTTTTTACGGCAAGCATGGCTTGCTGAAGACCTTTCTACCCCGGATCTTCACGGGTCCATTCGATTATTGCACTTATATAGCGACATGCATGCACGTGCGTGGGTGTGGTGCTGTTTGTACTATTCCGAATTAATGCCGATGTTATAGTGTACACCCACCGAGATACTATGCCGCGAATAAACATGGATACCTAGTACACTCCTCACAAAAGGAAAAGCATAGGTAGTATGTAGTTCATTGAAAATGACTACACAAAAAATGCCGAGACTCGGCGCTGCCGATTGGACATCGCCATAGGACGTATCTAAAGATGGGAATCGCAGTCTTCTGTTGCACGCCATTTTAACGTCCACCTCAGCACCATTTACCGCTTTGTGACCGACACACACAGTTCAATTCTACTGTAGACCGTCCGAGAACCGGCCGACTAAGAGTTATCACCTCTGCATAGTAACGCTACATTCGACTGTTCCACCAACGTCATCGTCATCGCAATGCCACAGCTACGGAGAATGCAGGACGCATCCCTGGTTTGAGGAGAATATCGCACCAGACTGTGTCAGGAACCATCTTTGCGAGGCTGGAATCCGACCCAGAAGACCAGTTATCGCCTATGTTTTGCAACAGATGGCGTTGGTGCCATACCTCACAGCCTTGAAATTTGAAAAAACTGGAGACGAGTGTGGTTAAGCGATGAATCACGATTTCTTCTTCAACGGCGAGATTGAAGACAACCTGTTTATCGCCGTCGAAATGAGCGTGTGGGGTGTGTGTGTGTGTGTGTGTGTGTGTGTGTGTGTGTGTGTGTGTGTGTGTGTGTGTGTGTGTGTGTGTGTGTGTGTGTGTGTGTGTGTGTGTGTGTGTGTGTGTGGGGGTGGGTGGGTGTGGGTGTGGGGTGGGTGGGGGGGGTGGGGGGGTGGGGGAATATCCTACACCACGAGATCTGATTTGGTTGTGGTTCAGGGAAATTTGACAGCAAATCGCTACATGAATCAAATTCTTCAACCTCACTTTCTTCCAATCATTGACCGCCAGAGGGAGCTGTTCCAACAGGACAACGCTCCACCGCACACAGCTCGTGTCACGGTTGACTACCTCATGATGCCAACATCAACCTCTTGTCCTGGCCGTCGAGATCTCCAGATGTCAACCCAATCGAACATCTCTGGGATGAACTCGATCGAAGTGTACGTCAACGTCAGAACACGCCGCAGACACTCCCTCAACTGGCCAACGCGTTACAAGCAGAATGGCGCAGAATTCCGCAGGACAGAATTCGTACACTTATCCAGTCAGTGCCAAGGAGATGCAGAGCCGTGATTGCTGCCCGGGGCGGTCACACTGAGTTAAGCGCAATCTTGTGGCCTTATGTGACATGACAATGAACAGTTTTCAGAGCCTTTGTACAACAACAACATGTGACTATTGAGCTCCAAAATTTCATATTTGTATCTATGATATTATAATTAAATAGATCGACTTTATTAGGTACATTAAATTTACTAAAAATCTACCTGTGCGTTTCTTCTTTTGAAGAGTGTATACTGACTCCAAGCCTGCCAGGCCTTGTTTTATTCCATTAATGCCGAGTGCCAGGCAAGTACCACCTTTGAATGTCTTTTGGTATGACTGTGGCTGCCAGTATGCTCGGGGTCAGTATACTGTGTCTGCGTGGGGTATTCATACTAAACTGCGGCATATGGTATCTAACTGGGTTAGCACTATACACCCGGCATCGGTCCCGACTAGGACACAGTGGAGCTAAGAGGAGCCAAGTTAGCGTAAGGAGCGTAGTTAATTACCACAGTACTGGTTGTTGTGAAATGGGGTTTAACGCGCGCGCGCGCGCACGTGTGTGTGTGTGTGTGCGTGCGTGCGTGCGTGCGTGCGTGCGTGCGTGTGTGTATGTGTGTGTGTGGCTGCTTGAACTAGTCTGGACCAATGCCAGATTTATAGTACTAGCCCACACTAGCCCTCTGAGACACCATGCTGCAGTTTATCATGAATACCCGACTCTGACACAGTACACTCCGAACCGACCAGTCCTTGCTTTAGCCCCTTAATGTCGAGCGCCATCAGGGTAACAACAGGCACCATCTTTTAACATGACGCGAGGATCGAACCCCGACCTTTCGACCTTCAGCTCTCCGGGCGGACGCTCTACCACTAGACCACGGAGGCGGTCCTTGAGCCTGAGACATTGCAGGACTTGTTGTGGGCCTTTCAACAAGAATGGAAAAGCGTTTGACTCTGTTTGATTCAACAAGTCGGCGGTGTCAGGATTCCAATTGTGGTCATACACCTTATTGAAGTTGGTTGGTTGGTAGGTTTGTTGTTTTACGCCACACTCAACAATATTCCGGCTGTATGACGACGATCTGTAAATAATCGAGTCTGGACTAGACAATCCAGTGATTGATATCATGAGCATCGATCCACGCAATTGGGATCGATGACATGCTTCAACCAAGTCAGCAAGCCTAACCACCCGATCCCGACAGTCGCCTCCTACCACAAGCATAGTCGGCTGTTACGACAAGCATGTGTTGCTGAAGACCTATTCTACCCCGTATCTTCACGGGTCCCTTATTGAAGTGTTGTGTCCTTGACCGTTTTGTAAAGTTTTGCAAACCTTATATATATCTTTGTAACCAAATAAGCAGCTCTTTATATAAATATATCGTTGAATTCAGCGTTGCTGTTCTTCTTTTTAAATAAGTGTATAACTAGAAACTGAAAGGATTCGCTCGCCAAAGGGATATTTCTCTCCGCAGCTAAGTATTATACGACATGGACATTCGTGCCAACTTTAATAAGCATGTTCATTGTAGCAATGTTTATTAAACATTGCACGGTTATGAATGTTGCACCAAGTGTTACTGTGCTGTCTTTGTGTAATAGCATAACTGCGTGGTGCAAGGTCGTTCTTGGCGTCGTATTGCTAAGAGGGCCACTATTGTCTAGATGTATTATTCAACTTAAACGTTTTATTTTAGCATGCTTCAGTGACATGACAGAAATACACGTGTAAAGAGAACTATGATTATCATAATTAAATTGAGGCATCATCTCAATTTAACAGAAGGCAGTAAACACAACGTCGTGTGTGTTTTGGTTTGAAATCGGACTATAAATTATACAGTAAAAAACAAGCGTTTATATTTCTTCCCATCGATGATAATTCCGATTATTGATCTAATATATAGAGTTTGACATTGTATATGAGCAATGGTCGACGCCGTAAACACTTTCGAACAAGTCACAGACTCTGACCAACCGATTAAGTAGCCTCCTTCGAAAAACGTTGGTTGCTGGTGGCCAATTCTGACCCTGAATCCCAACAGGGACATAACGTTTAGACAAAAAACTAGAAATGTACCCAGACAGTGGAGACAAGAGCTTGGAGCTGCCTATTCAATAACGATGATTTATTCAAGGATAGAAAGACATTTTCAGATTGACATTTTATTTAGCTGTAAGCCGGATATGATGCTACACGCTATGCTGATGGATCAAGGCTCCCCCATATGTAGAATGTCGATAGTGCCAGATTTCCGAAGCGTATTTGTAGCTCTGAAACCAAACCTTTTCCCCTTTCTTCACCTCTGTGGCATACGTAAGACTGACAGTATCGGAGCCAACCGCGACCGCTATCTGTGTACCCTCCTTGTACAGAACCACGTGGATGCGTGCTTTAGGGGCGATGCTCGCCCAGAACAGGTAGGTGCCGGACACGGGAGCTTCAAATACACCAGTAGGAGCGTGGTACCCGCCACCATTGTTTAGAGTAACTGTGTCAAACTTGAAGATTTGACTTGCTTGGACGGTGTGCCCTGCTTTTTCATTCGATACTTCAAACGCAACGTTGGACCTATTACCTGTAATGTCAATGTGATTAGTATTAGTAGATGTAAGTGATAGAGTACCTAACAGCACTTAACAGTACCTAACATGATAACACGTTCATGTATTGCATCGGTGGGGGGGGGGGGGGGGGGCACGGGGGGCCCAGTCGTCTAAGGCACCGCGATTCGCTGTGCAGAGTTGCGTCCCTTGGGCACGCCAGAAACCTATGATTGTGGGTTCAAATCCCGGTTCGCCATGATTATGTTTCTTGTTATCTAACTCACTCACTGACCCTTCCAGATCTAATGTCAAACATACATGTCCCCTATCCCCTTCCTATCCCTATCACACTACCATCCCCAGTGTCTCCATACATTCCTGTCATAACCCGTGGACAGTTTGATACAAATACACTTGGCAAGAGTGAGTGATTGAGTGAGTTGTGTTTAACGCCGCTTTTAACATTATACCAGTTATATCACGGCGTGTCAGCTTTATATGGGAGGAAAGCCCGAAGTGATGCAGGTCTTAGACGTTTACCACTTCGGTGAAACCCACGAGAACGGGTATGGTGCTGACAAACCTAGACACCCCCCCCACACACACACACACAAACACCCACACCCACACCCACACACACACATACACTTTGCAGGAATGTAAAAGATTCACTTACTGTACACATTGGCTTCCTGCACGGCAGATCTTGTTTCCATGACGGTGGCGTTGACGGCCTGTATCTGACGTCTAGTTCTTGTACTTTCAGACTTCAACGTCCTAACTTTGGACTTGAGGGTCTCCACTTCAGATGATTTAGCCAGGCTAGCGAACTTCTGTTCCAGCAGCAGGATGTGGGTATGGACACTCTCCAAGTCCACAGTCCCATCTGGTTTCTTCATCGGTGCAATCAGAGCAGAGGCCGAAGCCATCAGTGCTGCCACAACATATACCTGTACTGCCATGGTGCCCGCAGTGCAAATGATGGAGTGACGCAGGATTCATTGATATCCTGAATATTGCAATAGGTGTTACTTGGTCGACGTCACAACATCTGTTTCAGTGCCATGTGACACTAGCGTAGCTGATGCGATAGAGTGGGTATTTATCGACCAGCCTTGTTCAGAGAAAACATGAATGAGATTCAGAGGTGTTTGTTTGTTTGTTTGTTTGTTGTGTACCACCGCACTCAGCAATATATTCCAGCTAAATGACGGCGGTCTGTAAATAATCGAGTCTGGACCAGACAATAAAGTGATTGACATCATGGTTACGATGACATGAATCAACCAAGTCAGCGAGCCTGACCACCCGATCCCTTTAGTCGCAAGCATGTGTTGCTGAAGACCATACAACCCCGGATCTCCACGGGTTCGGACGTTGAAGTCTGAAAGTACAACAACTAATAATCAACTGAAATTCCTGGCACATTTAGCTGACATGTTGTTTTACAACTGAAATGCTGTTCACGTGGCAAAACACTCTTACTCAGTGTCATGTCTATTTACTATCAACATAAACAATAGGATTAGAAAAGGTTTGGTTAACGGCTCGTGTGAGTATGCAAATGGGTATCCGATCTTGTTTGTTTGTTTTTTTGTTGTATAGCGCCACACTCGCTAATGTTCCAGCTGTATGACGGCGGTCTGTAAATAATCGATCTACGCAATTGGGACACGATGACATGCATCAACAAAGTCAGTTTGCCTGACCGTCCGATCCCGTTCGTCGCCTCTCACGATAAGCATGGGTTGCTGAAGACCCGGATCTTCACGTGGTTTACCCGCTTTTAGCAAAATTCCTGACAAATCGTCAGGAATGGATTTCCCAGATTCGGCGTGACCAGCAAGTACCTAAACATAGTACTGCCCTACCGCCTTTAGATAGATACACAGACTTTATTTCCTCCAGTATTGAAGATACGTCATATAAGACAGATACATGACTATACATGTAAACTAAACAATACATGTTATCTGTCATAGTGAAGGGGGTATGAACAAATGCTGCCACTTGTTAACATCATCAGAGAGTCGTAACGTAGTTTCGCCCGATATATCCGACTCGAGGTCTTCCATGCAATCAGGCAGTCCGCTGGGAGGATAGACATGATAACATCATCATCAGTCGACCAAAGGTCAAGGCAATTCACACCGGTAATATCAAAAATATTTTCTATCATTTCTTTCTTTCTTGCATATTTAGAGTATACATAACAACGTGTATGACTGTGTTGTGGGTTACAGTTCCGCAATAGCATTCTAGCGACTAGACTGTAATTATTTCGTTCTCTTCGTCTAATGTCCGACTATAAATATCTTCTTGCTCCACACGCCATGGTGTAGCTGCGACAATAAATTATGTCTAATCACCCAATCACTCTTAAGATTCAAACGTAACTCATGGTACTTACATTTTCTTTAAAGGATCCAGAGCTCCAGATAAGCTTTTGGTGTTGTGGGTATTTTACCCATGCATTTAAAAATCATTGGGTATCAGTAATTCTATCTGGGTATTCAAATTTCTGTTACCCACTAGTTTTACACACGTGGGTATTTAAGTTAAATATTTATAAACACTATTCATCTAGTCCCTGCAAACTGGTGTCGTGTTGGTTCGAGAGCTTTATAGGACTCAAAAATACCCGATACTTCCACAAGAAAGTGTGATGGCAAATGATTGTGATGTAACTGTCATCGTGGAGTTTGGCAAGGTTGACGGAATGTCCGTATTTGTCCGTTGCGTATTTGATACGCTTGGATTATATTTCATTGCGTATTTCTGCATTTCTAATGCGTATTTTACGCAGACACGCAGCTTATCTGGAGCTCTGGCCGGATCTGTTAATTATAATGAGCAAGTAAGGTTGTACGCCGCTTTTAGCACTATTCCAGTAATATCTCGGCGGGGGACACCAAAAATTGGCTCCATACATTGTACCCATGTGGGGATTCGAACCCGGGCCTTCGGCGTGACGAGCGAACGTTTTAACCACCAGGGTAACCAACGCCCTTTGTTAATTATAGGAAATGAGAAAAAACACGTCTGATTATAAATATCTTTATTAAATATTTGATTCAATATGAGATATAATACTGATTGGTCATAAGATAATAAGGAGGAGAGAAAGACATTAAGGTAAAGATTGTGCTAGAAGAAATCTCAAATCATCAACTTTACTTCTTTACTGGTTTCTGCTGGGTCCATACTTTGACAAATTCCTCATAATTAATTTTCTTGTCATCATCCTTTACCCATGCAATTAGCAAATCAGATATTTTTTCAGCTTTGATGTTGAGATCCGCATCCGACTGAATGCTTTTGATGAGTTCATCTTTTGTAATAAACCCGCTGCCATCTCTGTCAAGAAGACGAAATGCAGAACGCATTATTTCTGCAGTCAACTGGATACCAAACACGGCCAGGAATTCTTCGTAGTCGAGCTTCGAGTCGGCATCCTTGGCGAGAGCTTGTAGAAGTTCGGCAATTCTTTCGGAGGAGACGTTGAGTTCGGCCAAAGTTTTAGTGGCGTTGATGACCTCATCCCTCGTGAGGAACCCACTCTTGTCCTTGTCCAGGATCTTGAAGGCGCGCCTCAGTGCCATTTCCCTGGACAAGATGAAAATATTAGGATAAAACAAATAACAAGAGTCATAAGGAGATGAAGTATGCCCCCGATCTGGTACCCCACTTTCACCATCATACTGATCTGTATAGCCAGTTTCATCAAGAAATATTCAACAGCTTTGGAGTTATGCTCCGGAAAAAACACTGCCCTCGTTTTCTGTGAAGTCTAACATGTCGTCATGGAAACATAAACAAATTTTTAAAATCCCAAATCATCAAAAGGTACCAGTTCACCTATAGACTGATCTGTATAGCTAGTTTCAACAAGAAATATTCTACGGTATAGGAGTTCAGTTCCGGAAAAGGATGGACGGACATGCTGATCGCTAATCCCCCTGTTTTTTTTCTAAAGGGGAGGACAATACTGTCTTTCTACTAAACATGATTTAGTGATAATTTTTCGGAATGAGTGTGTGAATGCTTCGCGTTTGACGTCACTTTCAGCAATATCACCAGAAATGGATTTCACACAGTGTACGATTGTCGGGAATCGAACCCGGGCCTTTGGTGCGACGAGAGAACGCTTTAACCACTGAGCTACATCAAAGCCTCTTACCGGAATGAACAGAACCAATGTCAAACGGATCCGGACTGTCTACTCGCCGACCCCACTAAACCATCAATGCATAATCTCCAAGCTGTAGCAATTATGTGACGATATAATCCGTATTAACGCCGCTTTGAACATTATGTCAACAACACTTCATAGTATCGGTTTGATGTGGGGGAGAAAAGCCCGAAGTGATGCAGGTCTTGGGCGTTGATCACCTGGAGCACGGGTATGGTGTGCACAAATTAAGGATCATAGGTTAAATCTGAGATTCGAAACAGTGATCAGCGCTACTAAGGGACGCAACTCTGCACGGCGAATTGCAGAACATATATTTACATAGGAACTAGTGGATCCCTCGTTCTGAAAATGGCTTTAGCTTTCTTTGTTTAGTAGAAAATAATGCTATATGTAATAGTTGCTAACTGGATTTTTTTTTAATTTAAAAAAGAGGAAAATCCTTGCAAATTCGACATTCAAGTAGATTCATGACATAACATAATTTTTTTCCGCCCATATGTCCAGTGACCAAACAGGAAAATATCGCACTGAAAGAAATGGGCAGTTTCTACGTAATGTGTGAAAGTACACCTCATGCTCTGCTACGGCAATGCTGTTTTTCATCACTCGACTGGGATTTAGGAATCAATGCGACGAAATTACGACGCGTGTTCATTCAATCTGGATCTTTGGAAAAATGTCCTGAAATGTGAGTCGACAATTGGGACAAATATGTGTGAGTAACATCTCAATTCGCTGACTTGGTTGATGCATGTCATCGTATCCCAATCGATGTTCATGATATCAATCACTGGATTGCCTGGTTCAGACTCGATTATTTACAGACCGCCGTCATGTAGCTGGAATATTGGTGAGTGCGGCATTAAACAACTAGCAAACAAACAAACGAACACAACTAGACACACAGTCCTTGTTATAACCGGGCTTTTTACTTAATTACGTACTTCATGGCACTTCTGGGGATCTTCTTAATGGCGGCCATGTACTCGACAAGTGTCACCTTTCCATCCTTCGTCATGTCAATTCCATCGAACACTTTCTGCAACAAAATAGTATCACAATTGAATGTTAGCATACAGGCTTCGAACTGATAATCTTTTATCTGTACAGCCACATTGAACGATACATGTTTTACGTCAGTCGGAGTATAACATCTAACAGTCTAGCCAAAATGCAAGAAAAATGTCTTTCCTCTAAATGAAAGGGACAAAACCCTTTCCATGTCCATAGAAATCTCGATAAGAGTCGACTGTACGATTCCACTACCATGAGCATGTGTTTGTGAATCAATATCAAACCGTGATGATACCAGGTGTTTGCGAAAAGGTGAGCGTATCCTGTCCCAACGGTGCACCCGTCGTAAAAACACATGCAAAGGCAAGTCAATTGTTCACCTAATAAATCGACACCGGCATGTCCTATTAATTTACCGAATAACTACCCACTGTCCCACGTAATGTTTGACCTATTTCACTGTTAAAATATTCAACATCACTTTTAGGAAGATGTGCATACTTCTCGTGGAACATTGTCCTCGGCAACATTGCCTGTCGTAAACTTCCGAATTACACCATCACAGAGAATGTTAAAAAATGCCATTTATGTTTCGCCATCATCGCTCCCATGTTGCATCACTACGGATTGTCAAGATACGGTTTTAGATGTGTGTTTTTTATTGTTTGATGAGGGAACTTATATATGTTATCATAATTTTAGGCAAAATATGCGTTTTCAGAATTATTACAATTTCAATTCCGATAGAATACGGCTATTTTATATGTTAGTTTAAGTGCCGAACGCGTTAAAGACAGTAGTTAACAGTACGTATTTTAAAAATATGCGATGTTCATTTTAGAAGCATGTCTTCGTTTTAGCGTTTAATACAGAATTGGAATAGCAGTTTAAACTATTGTTTCCAGAAAATGTTTCCGTCCACAACATTTGCCTCTCAACAAAACAATGTGTCAGAGACATTATGCCAGTCCCCGAACATCTTCCGGAGCCACGGAGTTAACTCACTTTAAAAGTCTAGTCTCCACCCTTGCCGAACTAGGCTGGAATTCCTGGGTTCGATCGTAGCACCACCAGTGTCTATTACGGGTTATGTCCCTTCTTAGCTTCTCCTATGGACCAATCAGATTCCACCTCTCGTATCACTTGCATTTGCCTTTAAAAAAGGGCGGCGCCCATTGATAATCATGATCTATATTGTGATAACACGGGTCTTACATCGCGAAGGGTATCAAATCACGTGAGCACCTTGATAAATAACATGAACATATTTGGAAAATATCTGTTGAAAACGACTTGGCGGCACACCTGCTTTGCCAATCCTGCAAACGACAGAAATCTGCACGACAGTTTACGAACCGGATATCGATTACGTTGCGAGATTTTGATTGGACTATACATAGACTCGTTAGTCATGCCAAAATGTAACTCTATAATACCAGCCTTGTTCGGCAAGGTTTGAAAACTGGACTTTAATAGTCAGTTAACTCATTTGCCTCGGGAAGATGGTCACCGAAATGAGATTACATACCCTAGAAATGTACTTGTTATTTTGTGGTATAAAGAAGTTTAAATTTCCTTTTTCTTAGATGTTTTAACGTGTTACGAAATTTGACTGAAGATTTGTTTGTTTGTTGTCTAACGCCGCGGTCAGAAATATTCCGGCTGTATGACGACGGCCTGTAAACAATCCAGTGATTGTGCGAAGTCACTAATAAGGAGATTCCCAAAAGAAGCTAGAATAGTTAATGGTCGGTATCCGTGGTGTTCATCATATAATGGTTTTATTACACACTGAATAATCCCTTTTTCCAATGTTTCAAGTTTTTTTCATTTCTAACAAATCATGTAAGAAGCTCCAACGTGGCCGAAAATGGCATAACTCATTGTTCGCTACGACATATAGCAAAACTCAGTCGTCTAAGGCGCCGCGATTTGCCATGCAGAGTTGCGTCCCTTGGACACGCCAGAAACCTATGATTGTGGGTTCGAATCCCGGTTCGCCCCGATTATGTTTCTTGGTTTGTAAGCAGCATATTCGTGCTCTTGGGCTTCACCGAAGTGGTAAACGTCTGAGACCTGCATCACTTCGGGCATTCCTCCCACATGAAGCTGACACGCCGCGATATAACTGGAATACTGTTAAAAGCGGCGTTAAACCCAACTTTCTCACACTCGTGTGGATGGAATTCACAATACGATATTTTACGAACGTTTCGTGGGGTACAACACTCGATCAAAGCGTTCTAAGTCTGACATACTGACCCTGAAACAAATACATCCAAAACAACCCATGCAAGTCGATATTTGTGGGAAAGTCCAGATTACTGCAGTATCTGAAAATGAAGAGAGTCTCTGGGCTCCTTTTTATTATATTTTTTACAGAAATAATTTAAGAACTGTTTTTATCTATGACATATGTTCATTTCAGACTCAAGATGTTAGTTAGAAGCGTGGGTTTGACTTTAGTGTTTGTTTATTATTCACGTCGTACTCACAATATTCCAGTTGTTTGATGGCAGTGTGTAAATAATCGAGTCTGGACCAGACAAACGAGTGATATTGTGAGCAACGCTGCACCCCGTCGGGGACGGATGACACGCAACTACTCCATCTATTAAGTCGAAGGTTGCAGGGGACCCATTCGAACATCCGGAATCCTGGGTTGTTAGATTTATTATACTCTTTTTTTGTCCGCTGCCACATGTTACACTTTCTGTATTGTGAACATTGTGTTGACGACGCTTCGACCTGATAATCTATTATCTGGGTTGCCATAGATCGCAAACTGAACGTTATGTTTTACGCTAATCGGAGTATAACATCTAAACGTTTAGCTGAAATGCGAGAAAAATGTCTTGTTCTCTAAAAAGATATAATACATTATAACTGGCATCAACATCTCCAATTAAGATATCGAATTACTATGTTTTGATCGCAGTCGATCCGTCTTCAGTAACCCATGCTTGTCGTAAAGGCAACACAGGATCAGATGGTCAGGCTCGCTGACTTGGTTGATGCATGTCACTTGGCTGAGTGCGGCGGCGTTTAACAGCAAACAAACAAACGAACTGTTATTTCACTACTGAATAATATCTGATATATCCAAACAAAAACAACCCTTCAGTATCGTGGGCTATTCTTTCAATGTTTCCGTTTCCTATGTCATCCCAATTCCGGACCTATGCTTGCTGTAAAAGGCGACTATGCTTGCTGTAAAAGGCGACTATGCTTGCTGTAAAAGGCGACTATGCTTGCTGTAAAATGCGACTATGCTTGCTGTACAAGGCGACTATGCTTGCTGTACAAGGCGACTATGCTTGCTGTAAAAGGCGACTATGCTTGCTGTAAAAGGCGACTATGCTTGCTGTACAAGGCGACTATGCTTGCTGTAAAAGGCGACTATGCTTGTCGTAAAAGGCGACTAACGGGATCGGGTGGTCAGGCTCGCTGACTTGGTTGATGCATATCATCGATCCCAATTGCGTGGATCGATGCGCATCATATTAATCACTGGATTGTCTGGTCCAGACTTGATTATTTACAGACCGCTGTCATATAGCTGGAATATTGCTGAGCGCGGCGTTAAACAACCAACCAACCAACCCAATTCCGGACAGGTATGTAGTCTGGAGACGCCCTGGTTCTGTATAAAAAAAGAACGTTAACAGGTAATTGAATCACCGCGCACACCGTTTCGATACATGCCTGCACAATCGGCTATCTCCGTCAAACTACGACAGCATCCGTTTACCAAGATCCGTGATCCGCTCGGTGTGTTCAGATTGTAGACTTGCCCACATGCGGCAGTCAACAGAGAAACCTTGAACTTTGGCGGGATAGGATTGATGGGTGAAGCACGCGCCCCTGAACGCGCCTAAAATAGCAATGCGTGATGCATCATCAGGTACTGGTGTCGGGAAATATAAGACTATCACATTTCTCTGGAATGGTAATGGGGTGCATTAGCAACGGACGACAAATTTACAGCCTTCCACTAATTATCTCGCCATGTTCGTGATAAGTCGGGCATCTCCTGTATGCGCAAAGTGAGAAGACAGTCTTAGAAGGGTGATTTCTGTTTTTTAAATGCTGACATTGTTGATTATATATTGTGATGAAAAACGTTCTTGATATAATCTTTAATATGTGTAATTATTCTTAAGTACTTAAGTATCATTTAGATAAAGAATGCTGAAGGGAGAATTCGTTTTAGGGACTCGCCATTGAACGTGGGGGGAGGTGCGATTTGTATGAGGAGTTTATCATATTCATCACACACACGCGCACGTAAACACGCACGGGCACGCACACACACACACACACACACACACACACACACACACACACACTGTGTACACATCAATCCTTCTCTGAATAATAACATTTCGGGGTGAGAAATAAAATAAGATACCAATACAGTTGTAGAAATTATAAAAGAAACATCTACATGATGTAACATACATGATAATATGACGAGAATAATTTCATTTTGTTTCAATGATAATTATATAAAATTTGTAAGAAAATTTATATTAAAGGCACCAGGTGACGGGATGTTTTGAAGAAGTCAAACTTTATTCGAAGATCATGAAGTGAGCTTGAGTGTATGACGTGTAGATTTCACTGTGTTATAGTGTATAACGGGGTTTTACAGAACTAGAAATATTGCGCCCCAAAATTTAAAATGGGGCAAATGATTTGCACTCTGGGTACCAAAGGAACGCAATTACGTCTGGTTGAATCATTGAAACGGATTCATTTGTAGCATACATTGTTAAGTTAACGGAACTTAATTCTTAATATATAAGACGTTCAGATGTTACTCACTCATTCACAATTGTGTTACAAACGGGAAAATCACCCTTAATAATTAGATCAGGGCTTCAGAGAAAGTGGAGTGGTATGACGTCATGGAAGAAATACGTTCCCCATATGGCGAGTCTGTAGACATCAAGTGGGGAAAGGTAGTGAACCCATGACTTTTTTCATTGCTTGGACCCCCAGTAAGCATTTTTCAGATTCTCCAGGGTTCACAAATAAATAGGCCCCAGTAAATCCCTCGTGTAAGCAGAGACCATAACTATTATATGGTCTCTGGTGTAAGCCGCAATATTGGGTGAACTCCGTATTCAGCACGAGTAAGTGAGTGAGTATGGTTTTACGCTGCTTTTAACAATATTCCACTTATATTACGGCGGGGGACACCAGAAATGGGCTTCACACATTGTACCCATGGGCTACCCGACCGCCCCGTATTCAGCATGAACATTAATGGGTGTAGAGTTATGAGTAGCATAGTTAAATAGATAAATAACATAGGGCTGAAGATATTAGAAACGTGAACAGATGGAAAGGTTTGTTGACATTAAGCTTTACGTTTTTATGGTAGACCATTGTTCTGGGCCCCGTTTTAATCCGATACCCGCCTTATGGACGGAATTTTATTATTATTATTATTTTTGTTATTGTTATTATTATTATTATTTACAGATTAAAATAAAAAATGCAGCAAAGAGGTTTTGGGTAATCCTGGCACAGTCAGGATGGTTAGGCTCATCATCAGCTCAGGGCCCTTGCCCCCTCTACACGCAGCCCAGACAGCGAATGGGGCTTCTCCCAGGAAGCGCTGCCTAGTTAAACCCACTCAGAACTTTTCGGTGAATGTGAAGACTCCCCAACACTGCAGCCTTCTGCATTACCCAGATTGTCAGAAGGGCTGTATTCATGGTAGCAAACTCGGGTACTCTCCCAATGTCAGTCAACAGATTGGGAGTACCAAACCTAAGGCACCGAGAACAATGGGGAGTCGGACAACTTGGTACTTGGGATGCAAGCGTGACATTTCGAAAGCGAGGTCCGCATATTTGCCATGTTTTTCCTCAATCTTGTCAATCACATTAGTGTCAAAGGGGACAGATAATTCAATGATATAAATGATTTTATTGGATTTATCAAAAAGGACAAGATCAGGTTTGTTGGCCTGGATACGTCTGAGGCTGTAAATGAGCCTATTCCAAAGAATTTTGTATTTATCATTTTCAATGACGCCCTCTACATATTCCGGGTCGTACCATGGGTGGACATCTGGGTCAAGACCACAAGCATGGCGAAGACGGTAATAAAATGATCGAGCTACACCATCATGTCGCTTAAGATACCGTGCTTGTTCCAAAGCTGGGCATCCACTGACAATTTGTTGGACATAAATTCATTGCATAATCTACATTTCATATTAACAGTTTGATGCAAAATCGCACATTGACGGTTTCGAGTGGGAAGTGACTGGTGCTGATCAGCAAACAGAAAGCCTTCTGTTTTACTTCAGGCCAGCCGACTTCATCCAAGTGAAGGACTCTGCAGGGTTGCTGATCTTCTCAACACACTGCGCATAAACTCGATGCAGTGGTCGTTCGGAAAGCCTCTCCTTGAAAAAACTGAGTTAGGGCCGACTTGATATGGCACTTCGCTTGGTTGACACTCATTTCTGTACCGTCCAGCAGTACAGAACCATCAACAAAATCAACACCGACATTGAGATTATGTCCCACATCTTTGGCTCGTTTTAGAAAACTGTGGAATGCCTTGTTTTCATCATGAGTCTTGACATGCTTCACAAGGGGATCATCAGACAAATAAATGTGTGCAAAAGTGCACAAAACAAAAGAGCCCCACATTATTATTATTATTATTAGTTACTCGTTAGATGGCTGAGATATTGCCAATTCGACGTTACATTTTAACTGACTCACTAGATGCTATTATTATTATTATTATTATTATTATTATTATTCAATACGTATCGGTGATTCGTTAACCCAGACTGGATCCGTACGGATCAACAGGGTTTCACTGTAAACGAACACGACTATGTAAAAAATATTACTCGAAGACAGATGTAACCTTGATACATCCGATGATTACTGGCAGCTGTCTAGATTCTGCCCGCGGCCTGCAGATGGCGCTGTGCCAAGGTGCGGCACGTACAGATATGGTGTAGCATCCCTTCCTATCATTAACTCTCACTCCATGGTGTATGGCCGTGCGATATAGTGCGCAACTAATGTTTGACGTTCTCATCTGCTTTGTCGATTTACTTAGTCCTTGGGACAATACTGTCGCCAAGCAATAAAAGTTGTCAAAGAAGCAAGAAAGATATTGTTCTCATGACTGACGTTCGTGATTATCAAGGTCAAATCGCGTACTGCATTATTTAGTTCGTAAACTATCTTAGAAACGTTTCGGCATGATACAGAAAGCTGACCCGTTACATCATAACAGTACTAATTTCTAAACTGCATCGTACATATAATATTACGTTAAGTCGACACCATACTCAGTTCAGAGATAAATAATGTTACGTGAACACCTGGTGTCACCACTGACTTCCAGTGATCGGTACATATAATTTTCAATATTTGCCCATTATGCCCGTCGGAATCTCGGCGGATAATCGAGACTGGTTATTCTCTGGCTTTGCGTTAATATTTAAGATATGTCAGGTATGCCGAAAACTATTTGAGAAATGTGTATGTTATGTACTCCTTCAACAGAGTTTATCGGTAGCTGAATGCATGAGTAGGCATAACATTTTGACAAAGGGCCAATTCGTTTTTGTTTGTTGTTTAACGCCGCACTCAGCAATATTCCAGCTATATGACGGCGGTCTGTAAATAATCAAGTCTGGACCAGACAATCCACTGATTGATATCATGAGCATCGATCCACGCAATTGGGATACGATGACATGCATCAACCAAGTCAGCGAGCCTGACCACCCGCCTCTTACGACAAGCATTGTCGCCTTTTACGGCAAGCATGGGTTGCTGAAGACCTTTTCTCATTTTCATCACTGACATGTCATCACTAAGAATACTAAAGCACATCAATCAGATGATGCTGTTCTTTTAGTCGTGTACTTCCTTATTGAAAACAGCAGATGAAACAATCCATTCACAGATGTTGTGAATAACCTAGCCAGAATTGGCACTTTCACTATGGCAACCAGACCTTGTGACGTCATAGCTTACCTTGGCTTCAGCTTCGCTGCCGCAGAAACCTCTGTTCTCTAAGACAGTTTTCACCTCAGCAAATGAAAGATTCCCACTTTTGTCCTTGTCAGCTTCGTCAAAGTCAAACTTGTACTTCTCCACTTGTGCTTGGGCCCATTCTTCTGTCATTTTGGGAGTGGTGGTAACTTTCGGTGCAGCTCGCACAACTTTCGGCAGTGTTGTAGGTTTGGGTTGGGATGTTTTCTGAACGGGAGCTGCTTGAGTGACTGGTGCGGCTGCCGGTTTAATTACCTGCGCGGGCTTGGGAGCTGGTGGATCCGGATTTAGCTGTATATAAGGCTGCAACAGCTTACCGATGAAGAAAGTAGCCGACAGCATCTTTGCCCAGCCTCGCTCTCACTGTTTGGGTAGCGCTTCCTTCACTTTCACCTTTGTGTCGGCGCGTGGCATTTATTCATAGCCAGTGACGAATTGGGGGTAAATATAGCACATTGTTCACGTACTGGACCACGTGGCCGAACTATATTGATGTAGTGCGGGCAGTGTTGATCAATTGGATAAGTTACACCCGTTTTATCGTTGTTCCCCCGTGAGGGGAATTGCTGAGCTTGACATGAACACGGATATATATCATTGGTGCAATGATTGTTTCTGAGCGCGAGGTTATATCATGGTTTGATGATGAAGAACTCTCTCTCTCTCTCTCTCTCTCTCTCTCTCTCTCTCTCTCTCTCTCTCTCTCTCTCTCTTATTGAAAGGACGAAAAACCCTTTGTTTTGATAGCATAAAACCATCTGACTTTGTGAATCATTTAAAACTGTGTTTAATAATAACTTCCTATACGAAGAACAGCAAGACTTTTATAATACCATAAACCATTTTGTGTAATCCTTGTCTGATTCTACTATTGAAGATAATATTGATATAAACAGTGAACTTGATATAGATATATATAAATCACAGTGAAATAGTTTATGCTATAAATGATATCAAAAATGGTAAATCCCCTGGTTATAGTGGAATACCGATAGAAATATTTTTTAAATGCCCCTACCATATGCATTGAAATGTTACTTTCACTATTTAATCTCATTTTTGATACTGGTGTTTATCCTAAAGCCTGGTCACTAGGTGTAACTATGCCTCTATTTTAAAAAGGCAGTAGAAACAACCCTTTTTAGACCCCTCTCTTTACTTGAGTGTTCAGGGAAAATATTTGCTAAGATAATGAGTAAACGTTTAAACGATTGGGCAGATCAAGATAGTTTTTTAGTACCTCAACAGGGGCTGGGTTTAGATAAGGATTTAGAACATCTAATAATGTGTATGTTATCAATACTTTGATTGAAAAATATTTATTGTTACATAAAAGTAGATTCATAGATCTTAAGTCAACGTTTGATTCAGTGTGTAGGACAAGTTTATTTTACAAACTCTGGATAGGTAATGTTAATGGTAAAATATTTAGAATACTTAAAAATATGCATGTAAATGTTAAATCGTGTATATTTGTTAATGGTGGCTATACAGACTTTTTCCATTGCCAGTCAAGGGTTACGACAGGGATGTGAGTTATCTCCCTTCCTGTTTTCATTCTTTGTAAATGATATTGTTGATTTTCTTAATTCAGACGAACAACGTAATATCCAATTAGGTATGATTAAACGTTTTATTCTAATGCTTGCAGATGATATGGTCTTATTCGACAGTACAGTCGTGGGGTTGCAAAGACGCCTCGACAAAATGAAGATTTATTGTCATAAATGGAAATTGTCTATTAATTTAAGCAAAAGTAAAGTTTTTGTTTTAGACGTAGTGGTCGTCTTCGAAGATATTAACAGTTTTGGTTTGGCACTGAAAATTGAAATTGTTCCTACTTATAAATATTTAAGTGTTCATCTTTTATCATCCGGTTGCTGGTACTTTACACTGACGACACTAGCTCTACAAGCGACGAAATATCTTCTCGCTTTAAAAATCAGGCTCAAAGGATTTTATGAAACTTCCTTATAATGTACTTTTACAGATATGTGATGTCAAAATACTACCTGTTTTTCTCTTCTGCTCAGAGATATGGGGCTTTCACCCGTCTCAAGATGTTATTAATGTACATGATAGATTCTGTAAGAATATTTTACAACATGGGAGATTTGTCCCCAATATAGTTGCTCGTGGTGAGCTTGGACGTTACTCACTTAAAGTCAAGCAACACGTTCGTATTGTCAAATATTGGCTCCGACTTGTATCTCAAAAAACTAATATAATCCTTAGTCATGCTTATTCATATCAATACAACCTGGCAGAAAAAGGACTACATTGCTGGGCAGTAAAACATTGGTTTTATTGATAACTTTTAAATAAGATGTATTGATATATATAACCAACAGTGGTCTAATAGTTGAAGAACTTACTCATAACTTTCTTTTTATTCTTGTATTAAGCAATATAATGTATTTGAAAATTATCTAGATTGTATTTCAGTAAGTGCTTATCGTATCGCTTTGAGTAAATGTAGATGTTCTGGTCATGCTTTGCTAATTGAAAATGAAAGGAAGTACAATACACCTAGAGCTAAGAGACCATGTCCATTTTGTGTAAGACCTGAAGTGGAATCTGAATATCATTTTTGTTTACAATGTCCATACTATGACAGTTTGAGACGTAATGTTTTACCTTATTATTTTTACACAAATTTAACTTTTGATAAATTTGTAGCGCTCTGTACATCTAAACCCCATGCATAAGTAATGCTTTAGCTAAATTTATATTTCTTGCTTTTATAAAAAGTAACTTTCTAATTGGCGCTGCAATTGTCTAATTCTCATGTATTGTATAATGTGCCGGTGGCCCCTTTACTGAAATAAAGCTCTCTCTCTCTAACTTTAACCGATGCTCCATGATAAGTGAAATATTGTTCAAAGCGGCGTTAATCACCAACTATCTCCTACATGCTACATCTCGCGTGCATTTCGTGTCTTCTTATTTGACTTAAGCCACGTTGTATGGATACTGCCGAGCGAGTCCTGTGGGTGACATTGCCCGAAAAGATCCGGGTTACAATAGGTCTTCAGCAACCCATGCTTGTCGTAAGAAGCGACTATGCTTGGAAGAGGTGACTAACGGGTTTGTGTGGTCAAGCTCGCTGCCTTGGATGATGCATGCCATCGTATCCCAATTGCGTGACTCGATGCTCATGATATCACTGGATTGCATGATCCAGACTCTATTACTTACAGACCCGCGTCATATGGCTGGAATATTGCTGAGGGCGGCGTTAAACAACAAAGAAATAAATACATACTGCATCCATGTCGCATATTGACAGTACAAGTAAAATGGTTGTACATATATTAATATGCATCGCTCATATATAATATATTCTCTCGGTAATGTATGATGTCGACAAGTAGCAAAGCGCCTCTTACACATGCATAGATGACTGTGTATTTTGCTTGGAACTGGCGTCGTTCCCAGCAATGTATGCATGTAGGTTCCAGTTACAAAGCTAATGTGAATGTATGACATTGTATTGGTACGTTTAGTTAGATATATCAGTGTGATCCGTGAAGATCTGGGGTAGAATAGGTCTTCAGCAACCCATGCTTGCCGTAAAAAGCGACTGCTTGTCGTAAGAGGCGTCCAACAGGATCGGGTGGTCGGGCTCGCTGACTTGGTTGATGCATGCCATCGATCCCAATTGCGTGGATCGATGCTCATGATATCAATCACTGGATTGTCTGGTCCAGTCTTGATTATTGACTTGACTTGATTTACAGACCGCTGTCATATAGCTGGAATATTGCTTGGTGCGGCGTTAAACAACAAAGACATAAACAAAGATATCAGTGTATGCTTTTGGAAAGATTGTGGGTGTTTCTGTGATAATGTTTCGTAATGGTCTCCATACTCCCTGTAGTTGATTTTGAAGGGATCTCCTCCGTGGTCAAGTGGATACAGCTTCTGCTCAGAGAGCTGAAGGTCGGAAGTTCGATCCCTTGGCCGCTGGCCGCTTCATACAAATAATGGTACTTGTTATACCAATAATTGCCAGCCAATTCTTTACCCTGATCTCAATGAATCATGTTATTGGATTCTCATCCTTGATTATCCAGAGTGTGAGGTGAGGTGAAATTGGGTTTAACGTCGCGTCCAAGATTATTGCACTTATATAGCGACGTGCATGCACGTGTATGTGTGTGTGTGGCTGCTTGTACTAGTCCGGACTGATGCCGATTTATAGTGCTAGCTCACTGAGATACCATGCCGCAGTTTAACATGAATACCCCACTCAGACACAGTATACTGACTCCGAGCCGACCAGTCCTTGTCTTAGCCCCTTAATGCCGAGCGCCAGACAGGGTAACAACAAGTACAATCTTTTAACGTCTTTTTGTATGACGCGGCCCGGGATCGAACCCTGGACCTTCCGCTCTCCGGGCGGACGCTCTACCACAAGACCACGGAGGCGGTCTATCCAGAGTGTGGTGGTGAATGGCTCCAGGATATAAATTATAATAGAATGACGAGTGAGTGAGTGAGGGAGTGAGTGAGTTGGGTTTAACGCCGCTTTTAACAGTATTCCAGTTATATCGCGGCGTGTCAGATTAATGTGGGAGGTAAGCCCGAAGTGATGCAGGTCACAGACGTTTACCACTTCGGTGAAACCCACGAGCACGGGTATGGTGTTGACAAACCTAGAAACATAATCGGGGCGAGCCGTGATTCGAACCCACAATCATAGGTTTCTGGCTTGCTCAAGGGACGCAACTCTGCACAGCGAATCACTGCGCCTTAGACGACTGGGCCACCCGTGCCCCATAGAATGACGATATAATGTCCTGGATGAAATGCTACAAAGATATTAGCGCCAAGGTGATCCAACTCCCATACCTAAACATAGACTTAAGACAGTTGTGGGGCTAAGGTTGTTTTGTACAACGACACCCTGGATAACTGAGGATAGAAAGGGTCTGCTCAAAAGTTTGTTGCCCTTTTTTCCTGTGCAGATACAGACCTGTATCTTTTAAAATCTACCATCAGTGACTGCCATTTGATACCCACCATCATCTCCAGTGTTAGCAGCCAAACCATTAACTGAAAAATCACATTACGGTTATCTGTCAAGGATTGTGTGTTTGAATGTCTTGAGTCAAACGTGATATGACAGACAATTGGCCAGAGTAGTCTCCCTTTAAAACTGGCAACAGATTATGAGGCATAATAATCTTGTTTAGGCCAAAACATGAGGATATGTTTCTTGGTTATTGGCAGTCACTTTAAATCCTGTGCCTCAAGCTTTTGTTATTGCCAATAAAAATATATATTTCAAATGTCCCAGTCATATGAAGCAGACCCTGTTAGCCTTGCTTGACAACTGACATTGTAAAAAGAGCATAGTTCAATATGTGCAAAATTTTGTTTGTTGGTATTCTTGGTGTGAGAAGCTTTTGACAAGCAGTATCCCATACGGGTGAATCATGGTCAATATAAGGGTAACGCTATTTTTCAGGGCATTATCATTTGCAGAAGCCCGAGGTCTTCCATTAACTGCCCGACGAAGGAGTGCAGTTGAAAAGACCGAGGGCTTCAGCAAATGATAATGCCCTGAAAAATAGCGTTACCGTTATTATAGCTAAAATGGATGGAATTTGTTATCAAATAAATAGAAATGTCGATTTTGAAACATTTACTGCAATCAACACGAATGTCACTGACCCACTTTTACAAATATGGAAACGTCATAGAACAAACCAGATGACGTCACTATTGAACGTTACGTCACCTATCCCTATCCTATGACGTCACCTAACAACGGGCGTGATAATGGCCCGTCGTCAAGTAATATGAGGGCATTATCAAGTTACAGTGGCCCGCTCATTTCTGATAACATGCTGATAACATGCGGGCGTTTTTATGATAATTCTATCCATTTTAGCTATAATGCAGATTAGGAAACATTTCATGCATAATGAAAGGCTGACAAACAACAAACAAGCAATTCTACTGATAGATATATGAATAGCACCATGTAACTTTGGTTTATTGCATACAAGCAGATTTTACACAATGCTGGGTTAAACTATAGAGGGTTAAGGAACAAAACCCTGATCACAGTCCAAAGCATATGAGAACTTCATCACATATGACCAAACATATCACTTCATGCAAAGAACTTTGGATGTTAATGCAGGAAGGATCATATCTCATGCAAATAAAACCAGATGGCTTGTACCATTTCTTACAAACTGTTGTTGCTTTAGATCTCACTGCTCTGACCATTCTCCATTCAAGAATTCTAGATCCCTCACATTCAGTACCAAGGAAAGAACATGCAACATTCAGAATATCTCCCTTCTGTAATGTTCATAGAAACAGAAAAAATTCCATAGGTCATTTTAGGGCATGCTTAAAATTGTAAAGTAAACAACATGCATGTATATATAAATATATATATATGAATAGCCAAATCAAGTGAGCTTCAATACGATTGTTACATTGTGTTACACAGACTCCATACACAATAAAGTTTGTTCTGGCTTTTGTATGCTGTTGTTCAACACAATATTGTTCCCATGCACAAACAGTATTTAAAAATTCAATTTGTGATTACTTATAGGATAGGTTATCATAAATGTCTCAAACAAATATTAAAAGATGCCGGCACAATCTACCTTTTATATTACATATGACGTATTCACAAAATCATTAGAGAATTAGTTTTATTAGTCTTAAATCACAGTGGCTTCAGTCCTAAAAGAACAAGTTCAATATCTTAGAGACAGAAAGAATTATATTGTACAAACAAAAAAATAAACCTTGCAGTGCAGCAAAACCAAAGCTATCATCATCTTACTGCAAAAGTGTACAACCCACATGTTTCAGTAATAAGCTAGGCCACAACTAACAGAATCACTGACTCAATTCAAAAATGAAATATTTCAGATTACCAAGTTTGATTAATGATCTTCTGAAAATGATCCATGAAAACGACTAAGCAATAAATCGTATTACATTGACTATTTTAGTTGCACTTGAAGGGTATCTTTATCAACAAATATTACAAAAGAAACTTGCCATGTGTCTGCAGACACTGGCAATCTAGTACTAATAAGTTGCTTGTGGCTTTCGGTATTTTTACAGTGATACTGATTTTAGCCCAAGCAGACCATCTTGAAGATAGTGATAAAAACATACATATCCGTCTCACAGCTATTTTCCAATGATTATGCCAGTGACCTTGCCTACCTTCATATTTAGAGATAGTTAATCTTTATCCCATAAAAAACTGTTAAAATTACATACAGTTACAAACTGTTCTTCAGAAACATCTGATGCAATATAAATTATTAACATGCAAATCTGTTGTAAGCATTAACTATCTGATGACAATATCTCTGCTACAATGCAGCGAAGTTGAACCCTATACAAAAAGCCCTAGCTAAACGTATGTCTGTTAGGTATGTACAATAAGATACAAGTGGAGATTAGGGCTTTCTGATAACACAGAAACAACCAACATTCACAGCAAAACCGGACATGCTTCATGCTAGAAGTAAATCTAAATCAGAAAAACATGTAGAAGCAATAGATTTGAGTCTATTAGTTATTGATTTGTCATCTAAAATACTTATCAAAAGCTTGGTTGTCAACAGACTTCAAGGTATCAGATCATGTTCCATTAAATGCATTGTATTTTCATCTGCTGAGCAATATTGGTCTTGACGTAAACTAAATTCAAGCTTTGGGGGGATATGACAGTCATGTCAACAACTTTCCTTCTTTGTTCTATTGGATAAATGTAAAATGGTTCTTGTCAAAATTTAATGCTTACATTTTACTTTTGAGTTGGTCCTTCAGTGAGTGAGTATGGTTTTACACCGCTTTTAGCAGTATTCCGGCAATATCTTGGCAGGGGACACCAGAAATGGGCTTCACGCATTGTACCCATGTTGGGATTCGAACCCAGGTCTTCGACGTGACGAGCGAACGCTTTAACCACTAGGCTACCTGACTGCCCCAGTTGGTCCTTCAATGAACATACCATAGCTTCAGAGATAATAGACACCCTTTACTATAGAATAATGTACCTTACATGCACACATGGTATAACCATTATTGAAGTTTTTCACTCTGAAAATGCTTGTTTCAGCTAAAGGTTTTAGTATGTGCCCAGTATTGTGTCTCATGGTGCCTAGTTAGAAAGAATGTTTGGGCCAGAGAGGTAAATTTGAAGCTGAATATTGTACATATTACTTGTAACATCCCAAACAAACAAGTCCTTAACTCGTCCAGCAAACATTTTGTTTCCTCCAGTGTAAATGTAAAACGTCATTGAGCGTAAAACACAAAATAGAAGAGAGAATTATATGAATGAATCACTAAAAACCAGTGATTACACCAGGTATTGCTGCCCTACCGGTAAGCTATGAAATAACAACATTGAAGTGTTTCATCTCTCAACTGTTTGTCCTTTATACTGACTGCATCTGTACCATCTTGTACATATGAAAATGGGTAGCATGTCAGTGGATCTGTAAACGGTCTTGCAGTCACACTGTAGGATCAACCTTAAGAAGCATGCAGCAACTTTGATTTGATAGTAGAGAACCAAGTCAGTTTTAAAAGAGCAATAGATTTTAATGACATTAACGTGAAAACAAATTTTTACAAGCTTTTGATCAGAGAAATGACAGACAGTAAGATGACTGTATTTTAAGTATAAGTCGCCATCCAATCAAATTGAAGCTCCCTTCATTAACAGACCAATCATAATGATGCAAATATACACAATATTGAACACTGCGCTTCACAATTCTCATCTGTATTTAATCCATGCTTTCGAACACAATGAATTTCGCAAACCTGTTCAAATATTTATTCTTTACTACAAAAAAAGCTTTGGAGACTGAACTACACATAAACTCACCCAAGGTAACCCAAGCACAATGTAGACAATCCTCTTACTATAGTTTTGTTAATACATATCACTTTGTACTCTCTGGCTCAATAATCGTTTCCCTGTTGACAAAAACAGTTAAGAAAACCATGGCATTCCTGCTGAAGACATAGCATCAATCACATCTAAACTTTCATGGGTTAAAATTCATCTTCAATTCCATCTCATGACAATTTATGTGTAGCACTCTAAAACAATTATAGGGTTATGTCACATATGTACAAAATATCTACATGTACATAGTCAATATAATCTATATGAACTTCATGAGAGAGGAGGTGCGTAATGGCAATTACTTTGTCAAGGAAACAATCCCTTCAAAATGCCATATTGATGTGATCTTAAAATACCAAAACAACATTTTTAAATATTCAAAAGGCATTGAGAGTGGGATGATTGCTCTTCAGTTGTGTTGGATAAATCTTCAGATGGTTTCAGATTTAGTGACATTTACTTCATCAATATGGCATGATCATGTACAAAAATACTGCACACAAAGAAACAACCATTTCTTCTGCTTGGTAGCTGTATTATGTAGTAATGTTCGGAAAGTTGACCCATCTGCTGCCAAGTAGCGAAAACAGCGTGTTTCATAAGTGTTACAAGAGTATAAAGAATGCTTCTTTAATGTACCAATAAACTGAATGATGAAGGTGTTGAATCCAGTCTATCTTCATGAAACAAACAGCCTAGCATAGTAACAGAGCCTTCAGGCACTGTAGCTCACATACAGGGTATTTGTTTACTTACAAAAAATCTAAATTGCATCTATAAATTTGTAATAAACGTTTTAAAACACTTCCATCCATAAATACATGATTAATTAACGATGCACCAAATTGGTGTCCAAAATATGGAAAGAAAATAAACTTTGTAAAGTGTCAAAGTGACATTCATGCTTAAATCAAATTTTAACTGTGAGCACTTTTGATCAACACAATTGATGGGTTAATCAATACTTGTTTATCATTTCAATGGTTCAAAGTTGATGTAATTGCATAATGTAAATTAGTTTACAGTCTCACACTTCAGAGGACTCACATTTTGGCAGTAATGAACACACTGACACATTTGGCCACCATGGCAGCCATATCTTAAATATCAAATTGGATTTCTATGAGCACTTCTTATGACCTCGTAAGATAAAAGTTTCAGCTTCAGAGAAGTTGTCAAAAAGGTAAAAGTTGGATGGACGGACGACAGACAATGCACCGTGACATAAGGTCATTTGGAACTTTGGCCCAAATGACCTAAAAACACATGCATATTTCTAGAGTCTAATGGTAAAAGATTGTATACTGTAAATGCTGAACCCTGTACCAAATGATGCAGTATTTCATTAACTAACTTTCACTAAAGAACTAATAATACCTTTGCTCTCCTGAAATTCCAGCAAATTTTGTAGATTACATTTTCTTAACAAGGACTGATCTGCTTTGGCACTGACAATTTTGTAAGGGTTAAAAATCTTAATAGAAACATCAAATTCCTCCAAAAAGACAACAAATGATGAGTACATACATGTATATATGTATCTACATATACATATATTCATTCTGGTTTGCTTTGGGGAGGTTTCTATATGAACACACAACTGCAGTAATGCATAAATACTTGACAGCTGATTATATGAACTTGCGTAAAAGATTGATTTGAATGTGCGTGGTAATTATCACATTAAAGAGATGCGCGTTTATTTTCAAAGATATGATGGTCAAGGTCATTCTACATGGACAGGGTCAAATGTCTGTAAATGGAGGCCACTCAAGTGAAAGTCACGACATGAACTTCATGAGATCTCTATTTTTCAACATGATCTAGGCATATACACATACATATATATATAATAATAATAACAGTTTATTTATTAGTTCAACTAACCAAACATACAAGTCTTACACAGATTACCTGACACAATGTGTTAACAAAGCTCTATGTTGAAAGGAATACACTGTTGTACATATCGCAACCACTAATTTGACATACCCCTGTACTCACTCAAATCCTCAACCAAAGAAATCCATTCCACATTAATTATTTTTTCTGATATATTTCAAGTCATTTCAGAAATCCCCAAATGGTTCCTTACTACATGTATGACCTTTTACGTGTTTACTGCAAAAACTTCAAGACTTGAAAACAAAAGGTTTATCGTACAAACAATGAGATAAACCATTGACACACATGGTGATAAAAAAAAACTGATATTCACATACATTCATGCACAATAAAGTCATAGAGGGAGGAAGTGTTTATAATCATCTGGCCTACAGCTGATGTGGTTTGGCATTGAAAAAGTACTGAGCACCATGCATTGTATTACTGACCATGTAAAATAGGAAGTAGAATCCTTCAGACTGAAGCAATTGCTGATAGGTTGTTTTATGCAAATTCTATACTTGAAATATTAGATTAAACAAGGTTCTTAATTTCTGAGGACTATGCTTGCTTCATATGGAGATGTAACCATTTGTCAATATGTGGCTACCATATAGCATCTGCCTTCCACAAGAGATACACAGTGGCTTCTACAAATGCCGTCAATACAGTTTATATACAGACAGAAAATATTCATGTTTTCTGATGAGAGCTATGGGCACTTGGGGTGAAGTAGAAAACAAAGTCTGTTCTCTTTTGTCGCATTTGTGGTTCACTGCGATGTGAAACACCTAACTTGACCTTTAACCTCAGTGCTACTGTCCAATAAGAAGGCAGCTATCTTTGACACCATCCTGGAATAAATTACCAACCAATGTAACACATCATATCACAGATGTAGTGTGCATCTTTGTCCTGGTGAGCAATGGGACATAACTCTTGTCCAATTATCTCCCTTGCCTCTCATTCCCACGTGACGTAAGTGTGCGAACATACTGCAATGCAGCTGACTTGCTGGCCTTTTTATCACTTCCGCAAGTTCCTGCGACTGGTGTTTTCAATACATAACACTATAAAGGAGTTGTTACATGCATATTCTTCTGTGTCCAGCAGCATGTGTTTCATTAAAGAACTTCCAACGCCCATCTTGCTTGGGTTGTTCGAGAGCCACTTGTGACAATATTTGTCATTGGTTAACTGGCCTTTACTGTCAGAACCATGCCAAACTATTTTCTGTGGCCTGAAATAAAGGAATGATGTGTAACTGCTTTGGTAAAAGTATATGGCAACAAGGGTTAAGGCTTAAGTAATGAGTTGGATCAGTAATGTTGCAATGAAAGCAATTTGTTGCTAATCATAGGACATCAATGACATAAAGCTGTTGAAGTACTGGATTAACACAAAGATGATGTGAGATAAACTCTTCTCACAATGGGACAGTGGTTGGCCCATGCAGCGATCTAAGGCATCGCAATTTGCTGAGTTGCGTCCCTTAGGCATGCCAGGATCCAATGTTTATGGGTTGTAATCCAAGATTCATTCAGAGACCATTTTGCTCAAAAACTTTTCCTAAGTCTATGAAAATATAGCAGCAACAATAGTTTTTGCATTCGATCGCCTGGGGGCAAGTGGTCCCAGGTGATTGTGATCATGCATGTATGTATCTTTCATTCACCACATTAACAAACATCTACAACATTAGCATACATCGCATTTGTCTTTGCCTACCAAAAAAACATGTTTACAAGAAATTGGAGAATTATAAAAACTTAATGACAGCATTTTAATATTTCAAGGATGCTTACCAGGCCGTCTCGGTCATAATATCCTTTCCATTAAATGAATATATCCTAGAAGCCCCATTTAGGTATCCGCCAGCACCATTCACCATATCTTCCCAGTCATTAAAAAGCATCTCGCCCTGAAAGAAGTGGAAATGTACATAACTGAACTATTCACACAAAGATCAAACATGATGAAAGGTTTTGGTAACTTTGGTTGGCTGCTACCTGGGCTGCAATGGATACTTCAGTATGAATCGTCCGGACAACTTTAAATCATGTCATTAATATGAACAGGATATATCTTGGAGGTGAGGTGAAATATGGGGTTTCACACTGTACTCAAGATTTCACTGATATAGCGACATAAATGCACATGTGTGTGGCTACTTGAACTAGTCTGGACTTATGCCAGCTTTTCAATGCTAGCCCACTGAGATACCATGTCACAGTTTAACATGGATACCCCACTGGACACTGTACACCAACAACCAAGATAAGTCTTTGCACTTATTAATGCTGAGTGCCAGGCAGGGTAACAGTGCCTCCACTCTCAAGGCAGACGCTTTATCCACTACAATAGTGAGGTGGTCCAAGAGGTCTTGAAACACATACAGTGATCCCTCACTACAACGCCACCTTCGGGGTCCAAATAATTGATGAGCGTTAATAGATGATCAGCAGTTTAACGAAGGTCGAGTTGTAGGTGGTAGATGACCAACAAAACAGTATACATGCTCTGCCATCCTAACACGATCTACGTTGCACGTTTCAGAGTTTCAAAAAAGATTAGAATAGAAGTTATTTATGATTCATAGTGTAAAGAAAGATTTATCGAGTGTTAATATGCACTTTCAAAAAAAACAAACACATTTTATCCCTTCAGGCGCATAAGCAGGTAGATTTATAACAAACTTGGTCAATAAAAGTATAAAATTTGATATAAAACATCACTAGACATGATGATTTACCATTTAAAAAGTATTTCCTGCTCTCAAAGGCATTGTTTTATATGCAGAGATTAAGATTACCGTGTGTATTTTCGCGTAAACTAAGCCGGAAATAGCAATCAGCTGTGCACATGTTCCTCCCAATCTACTGGTGATTCAGTTAAAACGTACCCAGTGAAACCACTTCAAAGAAATTTGATGCAATGGTCGGAAGAAATTGTATCTGAAATTATTATTTTATCAGGAATAATATATTAAAATATCGTGTTATTTTAGTTGCAGCTTCCACCATATATACTTAAAATTATAAGAACCACAAGCCTAGCACGTTGGTACAGATTGTATGCAGGATATTTTTTGACGTATGGAACGATTTTGACCAGTCACCATTGGGACTTCCTGCGCTACATGTATTTCGATTGCGAAAACGTAATGTTGACATTTAATCGTCAAACTGCCTCATATATGACTTTTAGCGAGTAATGGAACGGCATTTATGATATGTGTATCCATTCTCTTGCAACCAAACTTTCGTTTCAAGGCATGAATAGTGGTAATCTGACCATGGTTGCTGTTAATAACGGTGAGTTGTGCCATCTACCGATCACGTCGTATACGATTTCGCCGAAATTATTGTAAACATTATTATAATTATTGAATCAAATTTTGAAAATAATTTAAAACATGTATTGCAAACATTAGTCCAGATAAACAGTGAACATTTATTTTTATTACCAGATATTATAATAGTAGGATTAATTTGCTTACTTCAGTTCGGATTTTTTGACTGGTATTTCTGGTATTACGTTATCGCGGTGATCAGCTGATAATGTATTCTGAGATGGGGGAAAACAGCCTGTCATTGGAAAACTTGAGTTTATTGAAAATGTTAGTAAATTTGGGGAGCCATGCTTTACCGCACTATAACCGAGTTTGAGTTATATTGAAAGGAGCAATAAGGAGGGAACACTGTATTTCCCTCACAATCTAATGTGTAGAATGACGTTGACTTACAAATAACATTTCAATCGTCAAAATACATTTCTAACTTTTTTCATATAGGTCTGTGATGCTAACTGAAGTACCACACAATAGATGTTAAAAGGAAAAGTTTCATGTTATATAAAATGTTTGTAAAATTCTACTTTCTGATGGCAAAGGTAACAAACCTCTACACGTTTTAAATAAGCCTAAAGTGTTGAATCTCAATGGATTACCATAAAATCCAGCGTTAAAGTTCTTTTGTCATGTTCTCTATGAATACACATATATTACACTTAAAGCCCTAATCCCAGTTAGTAGGATAGAATAGTGCATATATCTAACCTTTGCATTCACCACCGGTATCGATCTATCCTGTCTATAGTAAATGATGGAATCCAGGTTTTGTGTTTGAGATGAGAGGAATGCTCTGTATGTGCCTCGATATCCAGCTTGTCTTGCTTGTCGATGGCACTCGTAGTCCGCTCCACGTATACCACGCATGTCGCCAGCCATTGGGTTGTTCAAGGCTATCAGATGAAGCTGTAAAAACAGAAAGTATAATAACACCTTACACCATGACTTTTCAACCAATGAATGTGAGGGGAATTTAGGCAACTAGTCCAGACAATGACCTTGGAAATAAGTTTTCTTCACATCTGTAAAAGTAAACAAGCTAGTTCATCATGATTTGTAAGTTCTCATATGGTATTATAAGTTTGGTGGTCCCTAACTTCTTTTCAGTAGTATACATTATCTATTTTGTATAGGGATTTAGTCCCACTAGTCAATATACCACTCCACTTTTAACAGCAATATTCACGTGGGAACAGAATGAGAATGATTGATTGGAGATGTTGTCATACAAATAGAATTCTTTATTGCTGTGGGATACACATTTTCAATTACATTTCTAATTAAAATAAACTTGAGATAGTGAATTTTCAGGGAATGTATGACATACCTTGGGCCCAGATGTGAAGTTAGGAGGTGGTCGGACTGGAACCAATGGCCTGGGTGTAGTAGCCTAGAAATGACAAAGGTCAAGGTCGTTAACAAAGACACACGAAGCAATAAAATATTGAGAATAATAAACTAAATAAGTGTAACAGTACCTATTTGAGTTGATTATGTTAATACCTTGATTATTAATCAACCAAAGATATCACAATCCGTTATTTTTATGTATAGGACATGCGTGGATGCTTCTTGGTGTATATTAGATATAGTCACACCTCAAGACAGTCATAAATGTCGTATTAGCCTTTAGTCTCAAAGAGTAAATAACATCACACATGGTATAACTACAATCTGTAATATATTATAGTAAAGATTCATACATGTTCTATAAACACTATTCTCAATAAACCCAGCAAGCAAAACACATTACAAGAAGCAACCTCAACAGTATTTACTATAAACTGTAAGACTTTATTAGAAGAAAGATAAATAAACTCCAAGTATGATTTTACTGTGAATACACTGCAAGAATGCAATAATTATCTCCAAACTGATTTAAAAATCCACAAAAATCCTCAGCACTTAACAGTAGTTAAGAATCATATATTATCATTTCAAAACATGTTTCACAAAATATTCTAATCCTTTTGGAGATAATTGTAAAAGATTTATTGTAAAAGCATATAAATGGAAAAAATCATTTATACAACACTTGTATTAACTCATGCTTTCATGCATTATCATTGCAAATTAAACGGAAAAGACAGTTTTAATAAATGCCAATTAAAAAGAAAGTACTCATTTTCTTTAGTTTGAAGTGAAGGAATCTAACTACCTAACATCATGCTTATCAGTAGAGAAATTATGTTATGCAGGGCATCTTTGATGTAGGTCTTTTGCATTAGAAAGTCAACATTGAAAACCAAGGTTACCAAATTAAATAGTGAAATAATATTCTTCTTTATCAGTAGGATTAGAATAAAGGATTTTACGAAGTTGTTTGTGTAGTGCACAAAACCAAAATTCAATAATAATAAATAAACATTAAGTTGTGCTCAAAACAAAGGAAATTGGTCACTGTTTATCATTCTAAAAAAAATTCTTCAGAACACCAAAATTATGAGGAGACAGTTAGGACAGAGTTAGACATTACAGCTATTCCAGTGTCCTAGCTAATGCATTGCAACAACTGATCAAGAACAGTACATGTCTGCAACATGGAAACACAGGAGTGTGTGAATTCGGTTTGAATCTGCTTACAACAGTATTACAGTTATCTCACAGCATGTCGGATTCATGTGGGAGAAAAGCCCAAGATAGGCAGTTCTTCATTTACCCCTTGTGTGAAACAAACATGCATTGTGCTGACAAACCAAGAATCATAATCAGAGCCAATCTGGGATTTACACCCATGATCATTGGATTCTGATACATCTAAGGGACACAACTCTGCAGAGGCAATTGCAGCACCTTAGTTGACTGGGCCACACATGCTCCCTGGAAACCTATGAAGCAGAAAACTATGTACTGGACACAAAGCAAAGATCTCAGTTTGTTACAAGACAATGTAACACTGGCCATGGCCCAGACCTTCATTAGTGACTACCCATAACATCAAACTAACAGACAGGATAGACTACAGTCAGATTCACCATGGTCCCTATTATGGTAGAGGGGTGCTACATCTGGTTGAAGGAACAGCAACACGTAGAGTCAAAGATTACCTACAGACATGACTACAAAATAAGACAGCAAAACGGAATGTTTTTCATAAAGAAAGAAAGGTGTTAGTGATTTACAATAGTAGGCCACCAAGATACTGCTGATTAAGTGATCTGGGGCTTGAATCAGGAAATCCAGTAGCTGATACTATGATCTTTCATCTGATAGCATTTTTAAGCAGCAATTTTGTTATCCAAACATCTGGCATGCCGTCATGCCTGCTGTCTTATCTTGCTGTCAAGTCTGCATTCTCATCGGGAAACCAAATAATGTGACAAGCCCCTCAACCATTTGGGATTCATAGAAGATGACTACAAGTTGGATTATTAACAATCACGTAAGTAGTACTAGTTTTTTCCTTAAAATTTCACGACTACATGTTCTTTCTAAAGTCCCATTTTCCCTCGTATGTTTATAAATATCAGATATCAGATATAGTGGCTTCAACCTCAACACTGAGGTCCATGCATATAAATAATACTCATAATGAACTCCCTACTAAACAGCTGTCAGAAGCAAGACTAAAGATCTGATAAAGTTGCTGCAGAATTTCCTATATAGAACAGCTGATATAGGAAGATATTTGCTCAAAAAAGCTATCATAAACGCCAAGCGCAAATAAACCCGGAACAGTTTGTCTGTGAAAATTAAGGAAATGAAAGGATAATTAATCATTTCAAGTAAACCAGAAAAACACATTTTGTTAAAAATTGATTAAATCTACAGCATAATATTATCAGTGGTTGTGTCAAGAAACTTGTTAATAAAAAGGACAAATTTATGTGGATTTATATTTCAAAACTGAAAAAAAGAAATGTCTTTAAAAAAAACTAATTTTACTGACTACCACTTGTATAATATTACACTTTATTATCTAAAAACAGTTCCAGTTTAACTCAAAAATGCGCAATAAATGACAATAAACGCAATAGCATTCTTGCAAAGTGTAAGAGCAAAGAACGCAGCCAGCCCAGGTTAATTAAACTGCGTAAGCTCATTAAAATGTGGCGCTGCAACAGCGAATCAACAACCATGTTCCATCACAGCGGCATCTGTATTGCGCATCTAAGGCTGTTAATAGAGAAATGGAAGTGCATGTTTTAGCATTTTCTTGCAAAGCAGGAGAGAACTTTACCCTTGTGATATTTTGATTGTGTCTATTGTTTTGAGTTCGTCCCCTATTGCCAGGGACACGTCTATTATTATGTCGCCATCTATTTTCCATTTCTTGTCGCCTTTTTGCCCTTTCTGCCAGTATTTTTTCTCTTTGTAATCGCCTTTTTTCAATTTCTCTTTCTCGTTCTTCAACCATTCTCCTCCTTTCTTCGGCTACACGGTCCCTATAGCTTACAGTAGTATTGACTCGGCCATTTTGTTTTCGGCCATTGTTTTGATTACGGCCATTATTGGCAGGCCCTCTAACATTATTATTAGTAAGTCTATTGCCAGATACGCTGGGAGGGAGGCGCACCTAGAACGTAGGAAAAGGAATGGGTCAGGATTGCATGAAAACATGTCGCATGACACTGATGAGGATGAAGATGATGATGAGGATGAGCGCAATAGCCAATGTATTATACATTACCACACGATCGCAGTATGAGTCTTGCGTAACCTTTACCTGGTTATTGGCGCTTTCACCTCCTTTGAAATTGCGCTCGCCATAATGCAACTGACAGAAGCTCGTGCAATGCATCAAATCAAATCACCGCAACAAACAAAATAATTTCTGAGATCCTGTCTAAATTTGATCATCATGTACACCATAAATGCTTGCATAACCACTTTATCACTTTGAAATATGACTGGGAATTTTACTATATTTGAATGCCTGTTGCCGACTTTGAAATATTTCATCCAAAGAGTGTTGTTTATTCAAGCATTTCTGGTCATAAACAAAAAATGACATTCCATGAAGGCATATTCAGCAATCTATTGACATGCGAAATAGCTAACTTTGTGAAAAAAAATATCTATTGCCATTTTCACAACTGCAGATTTACCAATGGCTGTTTAAACACATTTACACAACTAACCGTTTACCTTGAGCATGCACTGTCAGTGTCAAGGATTCGAGTACCTAAATTGGATATTTTGTGGAGCAAAACTACCAACTGATAGAGTACAAAGAACCCCAGTATATTAACTCATCATGACCATAAAATGAATATTTGGCACATAAAATGGATGAACATAAAGTTGATTAATGATGTCATTCAACCTTACACAAAATGCACACACAATGTTATGAATTTCATGAGCATATATCCAAGGCAATTGTGTCTAATACCTCTTATTGATTAATACTGACTAAATATCAAAACATTCTGCTGAAGAATGGACAATATTCACACATCATCCACAAACTAGTGTGGCTACTGTAAATAACATGAATAACATCTGTATGTATCTTTCCTCCTTTAAACATCTATCATCTCCATGCTCCTACTATAACAGGAAACCTGTTAAATTTAAAAACACAACAAAAAAACACTAGGCACATTAGTACAATGGGAGAATTTCAAATAACAAACCATGGGTTTAAAAACACATTGAATACGATAGACCCATTTCACTGGATCATAAGGTTGCAAACTCCTACCACAGCTTGTCTGATCCCTCCATTACCACTGTGCTCTGTATCAGAGACAAACGCTAAGATGCTTCAATGTGATATACTCCTTATTTTGAAAACTAAAGTAAAAGAGCTAAATCACAGAAAACAGTAAGACTTTCAAGATTCATGTCAAAAACATTTCCATACATGCATATTGCTAGATATATACCGAACAAAGAAAATGAGGCATTATGAATATTTTGGGGGATATTCTTATGTAGACTGATCACACAATATCATAAAAATATCCCAAAAATATTCATGATCCCTAACTTTTGTTGTTGAGAATAGTTGATTCTGACATATGCTTATGGATAACATACAGATAGATTTTCAAACATCTCTGTTCCATGCATGTAGTTCACACCAAAGTTCAATATGACCTATATTGAATAATGCAAAATCAGCTGTTTTCAGAGTCGGGCATACGTGTAGAAAGTTGCTGTAACACATGGAAAAAGATACTTACTGGAGGTGTCGGACTTGGTAAAGGAATGGTTTGTCCCAGCTGAAAATATAAAGGCACCATGTTAGCAATCCGTAACCTGTCAAGAAAACAGAGTGCTGTCACACTCCTCAAAGAGTCCTAACATCCAGAATAAAACCAGATTAGAACTATTGGACCTCATGAACAAATACCCAATAACTGATAATTTTACAACCTGAATGTTGAACCAATGACAAAGTTTAAATCCAAAGAGTATTATGTATTATCTTAAAAAAAACAAAATTAAATAGATTTTAACATGCAAATAAATCATTTGGAAATCATGCAGTGAGATTTAATTGATTCAATATTATAGATTATGATTAAAAATATTTTCAAGTTCAAATAAATCACTTGATTGTGTTCCAAAGATTTCTTACTAAACTCAAGAACAAACCAAATCCAAGAAGCAATTTGCAACTCATGTGAAGCTTTTCTACTGTTGTTCAAGCAGAACACTATCTATTTGAAAATGGAAACTATATAACTTTGCACCTATTCAATTATTCTAACGTGAGGTTTCTAATCTATGCAAGTATTTGGGTATGTGTTCAAATCAATGTCCTGAAACAGAAACAAAGGTTAATTTAAAGACACCATAACAGAGACTGTCAGTCTTGAAATCGAGGCTGATTAGGCGATACTGTTAGTTAAGCTAATGCATTCTCATGCCTTAACTTAAAGTATGTTATCCCGCTTTAAGATTATTAGTAACATTGAAACATCACCAATGACTGAAAGAAATTGGAAACCAAACTTAAACACATGCAGTTTTTAAATAAGAATTTTGTGTTATAGACATTCAGGTTTTGAGGCATAAATTAAAAGCTCATGCTAATTTGAAACATTGAATTAGATTAAGAATCATGTTAAATGTCATCTTTGGAAAAGTTAGATGGCAACTTAGTTTCATTCATGCCATTAATTATTTTTCTCAGATATAAATTAATATAAAATAATCAACTTAATTCAAAATATTTCAAAAGATTAATATCGTGCTGAACCATGTTAACAAAATGTGAAAATTACTTCCTTCAGAGAGATTTCAAGAATTCCAGTAAAACCAATAAGGATAGGGTAAACAAAGGGAGATAATTCATCCTAGTTTTACAAATGGAGGCAGGTAAATAGCACTTCTTCAGATCCAACAGTTTGTTAACATTTCCCTCCACTGGTAAGACTAAGCGAAACAGGCAAAGGCAACAAATTCAGCATGTCAAAAACACTGAGATGTAGACTAACTGCTCCAGAGCCATGGGAACAGTCTTGCAGTCATGGACCAGGGTTAGATTTGTGCAACTGTTATGAGAATTGGAAGGAAAAAATGACAAAGTTGTTGTTGGACATACGGTCGATGTTTCTGCCGCCGTAGCGACAGTGGATTTACTCTGTGTGACCAACATTTCTGAATCCTTATCAGATAAATTGGTACTTGTGATCGGGGAATCTGTTTGTCGGGCAGGGGGAACCGGGATTTCTATATCAACATCTTTCGTCTGAAATCAAGTGAGCGTCAGAACATGGGTAAAGACAAACGATGAGAGGTTTCAGCCTCGGCTCAGCCAAACCTTCCTGAGCACGCCCAAATATCCACAAGATTGAGACACCCGGTTAAGGGTCATAAGTAACAAAGGAGTGAAAATAATACATCAGGGAATATATTATTTGAGTTTTATCACACGTTATTTCATGCTTCAGACAGTATTTTTAATCAAATTTTTTCTAATTCTAGTGGAAATTAGAATTAAGAGAGAAAATGAAATCACTGTAACAGAAAGATGTTGAATGACCTCCTAATTTATTAGAAACTAGATAAAATATCATGCTTTTTTAAAAAGTCTTGAAAGAGAATATATATATACTTTTCCAAAGGAGTAAAAACAGATATAGAAAGGAAAACTGAAAATAACACGATGATAAATGATATGAAAAATGTCACTGTCAAATAGCAAAAGGAACACCTGTTGTTTATATAAAATATAAATTTCTTTAGGATCAATTCCTTTGAAATAAAATAAACAAGAGTCTCTTTTTGTTATTCCAGTCTCCCTGACTAAAGAAATATCATATTCCTTTAACATCCCAATTGATTAAAGAGCAAAGCCAGTCTTGGCAACAGAGTAGTTTGTTTTTTTGTTGCAAAATCCAAGGAATGACAATACAACTTCCTGAGACTATTTGACATTCATTGCACACTGAAATGAGGACTAGGTAACCATACTCAGGGGAAAAAGAGATGGATTGTCTGTGACCAAGGTTTAACTTACCATGACAATTTTCAGTCCATTTTTAACCCTGAGGTATAACAATTCTTGATCCATGACATACGCCAATGTTCCCTCTGGTAAGTTGTAGGAAACGGACAACAAGGCATCCATACTGCGGTATGTGATGGCAGCCTGAAAGAAAGATTCATACTGAACATCGTGTAAACAATAATATGCCATACTGTATTGACACTGGATGGCATGATGAAGCAAGGCAGTCATTCCACAGATGACATCCTTAGGCTTAAAAAAAGAAAGAAATGGTTCTCAGGCAATGAAAATATAGTACGGGTGGGCGGTGTTTTTTTTTTTTTTTTAGCTTGTTCAAACTAGTATGAAAGCAAATAAACAGTTGTGTACCACCTGGGAAAGGGCCTGCCTACAAAAACAAGCATACAAACTCCTATTGCCGCCATGACCATAACATGAGATGCACAGTAAAGCAGTGCCCATGTAAAGGGAAGTAACTGTGTGCTATATTGGATCACATTGTTTTTAAGTAGCAGGATTTTGTAAAATTTTTGAAAATGGAAATAGAAACAAAACTTTAAATGATGTGGGCGGTGCCTGAGAACCAAGACTATTTTATTTTTTTTAGCCCTAGCTTTCATCATAAGCACAAGCTGTCGGACTTCAGAAGCATAGTATCTTTCTCATGGCTCTGTGTGTTGTTTTTTTTAACCCCTTAATGCCGAGCGCCAGACATGGTAACAGCAAGTACCATCTTTTAAAGTCTTTTGGAATGACGCTTATGGGGATTGAACGGCAGACCTTCTGCTCTCCGGGTGAACACTCTACCACTGGACCACTGAGGCAGTCCTATTCTGAAAAGAACATGGAGCCACAAGAAATTATGTCTGTTTATACCAACCCCTGAAACTGTGCCTCCTCCAAGAACAGCCTCTCCAGCGGGACCAGGGGGACCTGGAGGGCCAGGGGGACCACGCCCATTGATTGCAAAGTCTCCGGGTGGCCCAGGGGGTCCACTAGAGCCTCGAGGTCCGGGCAAGCCAAGGCCAGGTGGTCCCTGGGGTCCTACTGGTCCAACTGGACCTTGTCTGCCTCTTGCTCCCTCTGCACCCGCTGGTCCTCTTGGACCCTGCAAAATAAAGTAGAACTTGGTGGATGGGGCAAAACAATCATCAACATCCTTAGGTTCATAACGGGCGCCAATGTCACCAAGCAATATTAGTGCTACAATTGTCCGAATTCCCATACTTCAACTGTCACAACTCTATGTTTGTTATGAGAAAAATGGCCAAGGATCTAAAAGATCTTAGTGCAACAACTATAAATGTGATTTAAGTACCTTAAACACCGCTACTAGTGTTTTGCTAGTGTTTGCTAGTGTATATTCTAACATGCATATCAATCTAGCATACTGTTCACCGTAATTGCACAGGGATAATGTCTCAGTTTCACTCAGGTATCATTTACCTTATCTAGAACTACCGTATTCGACATAATAAGCGCCCAGGGCGCTCTCAAAATTAGAAATAGGCAGCTCTTATTAGAATATTATTTTGGTGATAAAGAAAAGGAGTTGAAAGATCATAAATTTCCTGGTTTATACTGACAGCCTGAAATGTTTATATACGACAGATGTAGTTTCCAGAATTTAATTGCCCATAATTAAGGATGCATAAAACACACGTATTATACACGACTAAATAAGTCTTGTTTACATTGATCAATCGGAAGGGGTGCTTATTGGGATTGTTCACTTGCCAATATATTAGCAAATATCGTTGTGGGCGCTTATTAGAGCGGGGCGCTTATTACATCGAATACGGTAGGCAGAATATTGGCACCAGGCCTCTGAGCATTATCAAACTTAAAAAATGAGTCATGGGTCTTGTAAACAGGAGTTAGTGTATTGATAAATTAACTTCAAAATTAAAAACTCTTGCTGGGGAAAAAACGTATCCAGTTCCGTTATGAATGAAGCATAACTGACCTTCATGCCTTGTGGGCCTACAGGGCCTACAGGGCCTGGTTGGCTGATGACTGTGGTTCCATCTCCACTTCCTGAAACCACGGAGGAGGACAACCCTGGTGGTCCCGGGGGTCCTGATCGTCCATCTTGACCAGGGATACCATCATTACCGGGGACTCCTGGGTCACCCTGGAATAGATCACTTGGGTGTATACTAGGGGTTAATACCACATCAGACCAGAACATTTGGTCAAACCTGATACAATAAAAAGCTGGAAATGGTATTTCCACCACTCAACCGTCATATCCAATGTGATTATTCAATAGACTTGGTTCCATTCATATACCTTTGCATATATATTAAATATCAGGATGACAACTTTCAGATACAATGAAATGGTATCACACCCGCACCATTAAGAATTTTTTCGAAACAATACGTGACTACATGTTTAAGGACTGTGATGGATAAAACAAACATAAATATGTGTATGTCTCACCCTGTTGCCCTTCGGTCCAGGAATGAAGACTCCACTACCCCCAGGAAGGCCAATACCAGATTCACCCTTAGCTCCCTTGATGCTGAAACCACGCTCACCCTTCCGGCCTCGGAGTCCAAGTCGACCCTAAACAGCAAATTGACCATTTACTATTGGCAGTCATATTGAATGCTTAAAAGAACTAACATTTTAGAGGAATCCTATCAAAATGAAATGAATAATTTAATTCATCTAGAAATTAAAATTCCATGACCTAAATTGATACCATACTACTCAACATTTTACAGGAATATTCCTTGTTGTCCATTATACACCAAACATTGGAAGTTATTGGTAAAGAATGTCTTGTTTCTTTATCCCTATAAAAGCTGGATTAGTATATTTAAAAATACAGAATGTTGAACCAAGTATTCAACTGGCAATCATACCGGGAATCCTGGCATGCCCATTTCTCCCATTGGTCCTTTAATTCCACGGGGTCCCATCGGTCCACTGGGTCCAGGTGGTCCGGATGGACCTGGAGGGCCAGCCTCAACCTGCAATGACCAAACACTACAAATGAATGTACGTCCTTTTTAAAAAAAAACATGGTCACAGAATGGTAAGGATAATAAGGTCAGAAAAGAAGGAGTCAACAAGATTACAACCGTTTAACACAATGTTCACAATATCCTTCCACATCAAAGATGATGTGAAATGGGGTTTAACATCACGTCCAAGATTATTGCACTTATATAGCAATTTGAATGCAAGTGTATGTGTGGCTTCATGTACTAGTCTGGACTGATCCAGATTCATAGTACTAGCCCACTGAGATACCATGCCGCAGTTTAAAATGAATACCCCACTCAGACACAGTATACTGACTTCGAGCCGACCAGTCCTTGTTTTAGCTTCTTAATGCCAAGCGCAAGACAGGGTAACAACAAGCACCATCTCTTAACATCTTTTGGTATAACGCAGCCGGGGATCAAACCCCGGACCTTCCGTTCTCTGGGCGGACCACTAGACCACGTGAGGCGGTCCTTTCATATTAAATATAAGTGGAGATGACCACCGATGTGAAATGTTGATCGCATATCTGGTTTCAAAAGTAACAAAGAGACATGTTGGTGCCATACTGACCCTGACTCCGCCTTCAGCTCCAGATCCTGACCCAAAGATATTTCCAGGGGGTAGACGGGTGGGTTGACCAGGAGGCCCGGGGGGTCCAACAGGTCCCAGATCTCCCTTCTGACCCTGGAGCACAGCAACATACTTCATGAACAACAAATACAAACATTTACAAAGATTCAGCCACTTAACAAGGATATTACTTCATTATTTGTATCCTTTTCATGTCAGTGAGTAAGTAGTTCATGTTAGTGAGGTTCAGCTGGATTTGTTTCTCACTGTTTTTCAAAATATGGTAATAAAATGATACAAACAGTATTGCTATTACTTTTATGTTCAACTTGCTTCTGAGTCAGTGAATGAATGTTATCATATGCCACAATCAGAAATATTCCAGCAATATCATGGTTGCCAGTAAATAGAATCCAGGCCAACCAGTGACAGAAACTATTTGGGTCATGGTGACACGTAATTAACCTAATCACTGAGTCTGACCACCCAATTCATATCAGTCAACTTTTACGATGGGGCAATGAGATTTTTATGGTATTTCTTTCTCTACATTTTCTGCTGATGTGAACATACTCACAGGAAGACCATTCAGACCAGATTCTCCTCGTTCACCAGAAATGCCAGCTGGACCAACAGGACCAGGGCGACCGGGGAAACCATCTCGGCCTGGTATACCTGCCTCTCCCTGGAACAAAACCAGAAACATTCCATATTGGGTAATTTCAGCTTTACAAAGTGTATATGGCATTTAAAGGAAGCCATTCAAACTTATTATTAAATTGGTAAATTCATGTACATATTAATAATAGTGTCAGATCAAAGAGTTTCAAAACAAAATGTGCATATACAACAAGGATATTCATATCTTTCCCTGATACACAAAATAGAACGGGGCGGTCGGGTAGCCTAGTGGTTAAAGCGTTCGCTTGTCACGCCGAAGACCCGGGTTCGATTCCCGACATGGGTACAATGTGTGAAGCCCATTTCTGGTGCCCCCGCCGTGATATTGCTGGAATATTGCTAAAAGCGGCGTACAACCATACTCAGTCAGTCAGTCAGTCAAATAGAACAACATATCAGGGCACGTTGCAAGCCACGAATCGGTTAGAGAAAGCAAATTAATTGCTCATCCCGGGGTCTGCAACAGTTTTAAGCGTTTGTGCACTCTTCCAAAATGGCGGCACAACTACCGCTTGGTTGCCTTGACGTAATGAAGAACGAAATAGAAGAGGCTCGATGACAAGCTGATGAAATTTGACTACTTTGAAGATGTGGAGCAGACTGAGGATGATGGGGTGTTAACTGCCTTTGCTCATTTCCTCGTTGATCCAGTCAAGAATTTCGGCGAAACCGCATTATCGGTGGTTCGAGAAGGGAGCTAACTCCGTTTGCCTAATCGAAAGTTCGAGGTGGGCCCACATTCGAAACTAAGCGCACTTGTTGTTGAGAATATATACTACGTAAACAAACCCGCATAACGAACTCCTAATTTGTCTATTTAAAATAAGTATTATGACTTATAATTGGATTAAAATGTACAAATAAGATGGCAACAGAGCAGAATTCACTTCTACGAACATCGCCAAACTAGGTCGTGGGGTTATTAATATTCATGAGTTAGGCCTATTCCTTTTATGGAACAAGTTCTCGGAAACGTCTGAGGCTTGTATCATGTCCGAGATCAATTCAAGTGTAGACATATGTTCAGGCTTATATCGCCACCAACACTTATGATTAGATTGGTGTGTTATACTGGAAAAGGTAGAATGAGTGGTATTGCCTCTGTAATTTTAATTTGAAGTAGATTTAAGTTTCTTGCTTGGTAGCTATTTTTGTAAAACTAGTGTGGTCAGCTATGACGCAGTTATTCAAACTTCAAAGACTTTTGTGCCTTTTATGGAATTAATGTCACACGAAATGATTTATAAAGATATTTCCCATCAATATTACAAAATATGAATAATATAAAATGTCACATAATGACAAACGTGAGCCCAATAGCCTAAATGACTTCGTCAACCTCATGAAACCCAGCGATTTAAAAATGTGGGCCCACCTGTTTCGATCACTATAAGACGGGAACAATGTGGGCCCACATTTTAGAAAATGGTTATAAGTAAGCAAAGCTAATGAAGCTAGCGATTTTTTAATGTGGTCCCTCCTTTTGCAATCACTATGACGGAAGAACGTCTACCCACTAGGCGATATACAAATGTGGGCCCACTTGTTTCGATCACCATATATGACGGGAACATTGTGGGCCCACATTTGAGAAAATGATTATCAATATTTAAGTAGAATTTCGCGATTAATAAATGTGGTCCCTCCTGTTGCAATCAATATGACGGAAGAACGTCTGCCCACATTTAGGGATTGATTATCAGAACTAACGAAACAACCTAACGAAGCTAGGCGAAATACAAATGTGGGCCCACTTGTTTCGATCACCATAGATGACGGGAAAAATGTGGGCCCACATTTTAGAAAATGGTTATCACCACTAAACCAATCTTAGAAGATGTACTGATGGAAACATAAATATATAATGCATTCAAACATTTAATTACCTTACGTTTTACCTTAGGGATAAGCTGGGCATTAAATAGCTGGACCAACAACGTGCAGCGTGGGTGACGCCATTTCTCGCAAATACGAAAACAACGGAGATAGCTCCCGTTTGAAATTAGAGTGACCTCCCTTTCCCAATATGAACCACTGATAATGCGGTTTCGCCAGAATTTCTTGTTCCGTTGTCAAAGTCAGCTGCCATTTTGGTTTGAGAACGAAGCGACCTTAGCCAGTGATTGTTTCACTACCAAGCAGCTGAAAGTTAGCCATTGTTGTAAGGCGATTCGCTGTACATCACTTGCAGGCAACTGGCCCTTTGCAACGCACCCCTGATTATCCCTATCCAAAGTTAAGTATATATTAGTTCACTGGTTACACCTTACCGGTACTCTGTTTTCTATTTCCTTTCAAAATATATTGCTGGCCAAGACGTCTACCACGCCTGCACAAGCAATCAATCGTGCACCTTCAAGTCAAGTAAATGACTCTCTGCACAAAATACCCAGGAAAGATCTGATGACCCTTCCAACCCTGTTTAACTATTCCATGGATTTCCTTGTGCTGCATGGATAGCTGTACCATTATTTTAACTTCCAAACAAAGCTCTCACCCTCTGTATAACAATGTCACCATCTGATCCGGATCCTCCGGAGCCAACAGCGGTTGATCTTCCAGGTAGTCCGGGAGGTCCAGGGGGTCCAGGAGGTCCTGTAGGTCCAACAGGGCCAGGGTCACCCCCTCCAGGAATTCCATCTCTGCCCTGTTGCAAGACAAAACATGAAAGGTGTTGACTTGGTAAATTACAGAAACAGAGTATCCTTGAGGTGCTGTGCTCAGAGAGCAAGAATAAACTTGTTACATTCGATCACTGCAGTGAGTACAGTGATCCCTCAAAACAACGCTACCTTTAGTGTCCTGCATGACCAGACAATTTCATAGTGAACCTAAATACTTTTTTGTCAGGGCTCTGGTTGAACAATTCCCAACTGGACATTTTCTCTTGAGACCACTGATATGATGGTAACTAGACTAACCCACTTACTGAAGTATTGACGCATGACCAACACCTGGAGAAGGAACTGTAACAGTCCATATTCCAGTCTGCAATATCTCCCACATTGCTAATCATGCAGGACTTGCTATCCTTACAAAATGGCCTCACAACCCACACACTACTTAACTCTCATTCTGTCAATAACCAGCTGGTAATCGGGATCGTGGAATGAAGATTTTGTATTCTTATGTCACCATGATGAATTTTATGTCCATAACTTATAGTCATGCAAAATGTTAACATTTGGACAACATGCTTTGAGGAACATGAAACACATCTACATACGTTAATGCCAGGTTGACCGGGCTGTCCAGGCTCTCCTGCAGAACCTTCAACTCCAGGACTACCAGGTGTTCCGACCTCTCCGCGAGGTCCCGGTAGGCCATCATCTCCTTGGAAGCCCTAGAGATGGAACAACAATGCAGTGTGTGAAATAGTCACAACATATTGCTAACTTAAAAGTTACCGTATATCGCCATCTATAATGTGACCCCACGTATAAGACCACCCCCCTGTAAGGACTTTAAAAATCGATGCTGATTTATATACCTTGTCTATAAAGCGAATCGGAATGAAGCACATCACCAGCGCATACACAATCCCTACATTTGCAATAAAAACGTGTTTGTCTTCCGGAGAAAAAATTACATCGTATCCCTTCAGCGAATTCAGGAAAACAAACAGATCGTACCAATTAAACTTTGTCATTTACCCTTTCAATTGTAATTCCTGTTCTGATAGGCATTGTTTTATATGCAGAGATTAAGATGACCGTTTGTATTTTCTCGTAAACTAAGCAGGAAGTAGCAATCAGCTGTACACACATTTCTTGGAATCTACCGATGATTTGCTTAATAATTACCCAATAATATAACTTTCAAGAATTTTGATACAATAATCGAAAGAAATGTATCTGAAACTATCATTTTGTTGGGAATAATTTATTCCAATATCATGTTATATATTTTACTATTCATATTTGATATAAATTAATAACCATAAGCGTAGCACTTTGGTACAGCTGATCGCTATTGCTGGATATTTTTTTCGTATGGAACAATTTGACCAATCACCGTCGATGCTTCCGCGCTCGTGACAGTGAAAACTTTATGTTGACAAATAATAGTCAAACTGCAACAAATATGACTTTCAGCCAGTCAAAGTGTGGCATTAATGATATATATATCCATTCTCTATCCACTAAAGTTCGTTTCAAGGCATCAATAGTGGTAATATGACTGTGGTTGCTGTGAGTTGTGCAATCTTCCTAGCACTTCACATACAATTTTGCCAAATAGAAAATAAACAATATTGCACGAAATTTTGAATAAAATTAATAAAATAGATTACAAAGGTAAGTCCAGATATATAATGAACTGTTTTTTATGACCAGACAGTGTAATTACATGATTAGTTTCTGTACTTCATTACAGATTTGCTGACATGGTATTTCCGGTGTTACGTTGGGGGGGGTGGGGAGACGGGGACATCAAAACTGTTCAACCCTGTGTTTAAAACAATACCCCCTCGAAAGCCTGAGTTCAAAACGATACCCCCTCGAAAGCCCGTGTTTAAGACGATACCCCCTCGAAAGCCCCCTAATTCGTGGTACGAAAAACTCGCCTTATACACAGCCATATACGGTACTCGCCAGTTTTAAATTTCACTTGCCTAAATATGTGACAGAGTAAAAATTTATGGATAACAACTTCTTTAATACTGCAAAGGCAACGTTTCGGTATAGATCCTTATACTGTTGTAGAGCAAGGACATTTCTTTAAAAATGTGACAGTTTATTTTTCCAGAAATTATATTCTGCGAAGGTATCAATAAAGGAAACCAAAGTTGCAAATCATGAGTCAAACATGAAAGTTGTCTGATCTTGCTACCTCGATTTGTTATGGATATTTTATTTTTTCATTTTGATGGTTGTACTGTTCTACAGAAAGAGAGACCTTTTGTTTAAATTTTGATCAACTAAGAAGTGTACATACAAAAATCACAGTTGAAATTCCAGTTGCCAGTCGGTAAGGGACATTTCAAAATCTTTAACCCAATCAAACTTTTGCTAGCTACAGGCTAGCCGGCAGGTGGCTATTTTGCACACAGGTACAATGTGATTATCCCAGCCTGGGAAGTCAAGAAGGACCACCGCTCTAAATAAAAGCTGTTTGTGAAGACCCTTCTGATGGGGATTCCCCTAATGAGAGTAAGAGATCCTCAAGCAAAAGGGGTCTGCTCAACAGTCATTGCAGTGCTGTGCCCACTGTAGTCTGTCTTACAGACCCTGATACAAATATATATCAAATACAGCCCATGCAAGTCTATAATGTTTGGCAAGTCTAGATCACTGCAGTATCTGAAAATGAAGAGAGTCACTGGGCTCCTTTTTATTATATTTTTATTAAGATAACTAAACAACTGTTTTTTTATGTACGATATGTTCATTTCAGAGACTAGATTTTAGTCTATGCCCACTGGTGAGACTGAAAAATACCACAGTGTCTTCTTCACAGCAAAGCTACAACTAGCAGTTGGTGCATTAGGCAAGGCACATGCTCTTTACCATTTTACTATACTCACTCGTTCTCCCTTGGGTCCAGAAACACCTTGGTATCCTCTTTCTCCCTTGGGTCCTTCTGGTCCTATTTGACCTGGCAGGCCATCAGTCCCTCGTGGACCTGGTAACCCTCGGGGTCCTTGGATACCTGGCTCGCCCAACTCACCATCTCCCGAGGTCTGAGACAACAATTCATTTTAGTCAAAATAACATTCTCAGTAGTACAAATCTCTTATGGAAATCATGCATGGACACCTATTTCTGATGGATTATGAATTTTTTAAACAAACCTGTCATGTAGAAAGATATAACATGTATAATTCTACACAAACATCTTTAGAGATTAATATACTCGCATGTGTGTCATACGGATTTTACGAAAAAAGTGTCAGCATTCTTGTATTTCTCAAGAAAGAGCGAGGTTAATACATGCATTCTTACACAAGTTTCTATGTTCTTAACCAAATTGAGCTCCCCTTTAAAAAAATGCACCCAACACGACTGCTATCTTAGAAAACCACAATTGTCAACTGACATCAACAATCTTCAGCTATGACAACGTTTCAAGTGTGACATCCTTCCGACTGTAAGTCACAACAAGGTTTGAATGCCGTAGAGATGTCGTGAACAATACACTGGTGTGCGTGAAACGATATTTGCGCAAGTGCACATACCATTTTTATGAACCCTAAGGGTGATAAATAGTTATCTGTACCTCGCCACTTCCGAAGAAGCCTCCTCTGCCAGGAATCCCAGGGGGTCCTGGAGGTCCTGGGGGACCCATCAGTCCCCGGTAACCTTGAGTGCCTTGTAACCCTCTGCTGCCATCATTTCCAGACTCTCCCTTGGGGCCTGGCAGACCTTCCTCACCAGGAATACCCTCCAGACCCTGTAACAGTACAACAAACACTCAACAGGGGCCAGATATGTAAGCATAGGTAGATCCAGGGGGCCCCCCACCTTTTGAAAAACAACTGTAGTTTGTTGTAGACAATGTCCACCCACCTCCTCCCACTGAGAGATGGAGTATACTGTAGACAATCCACCCCCACTGAGCGAGGGTTTTGGTATTTTGGACCCCTCCCTTTGAAAAATGCTGGATCCGCCCTTGGTTAGACATAGAAGAGGACGGGTATTCAAAGATGGATATATTTTGCACCATACACTATGATTAAGTGAATATTGTTACATCAGTAATGTATCTACGATTCTAAAATTGTTTAATATGTCACTCAAAAGATGTTAAGGACCACCAGACTTTCATATTACTTTTTTAATAGTGTTGCTATTTTGATCAAAATGGGGATTTCTTCTCCCTCGTATTGGTCAGTGAAATACAGGTCACCTCTATGTTACGAAACTGATTTTATACATTTACTGGGAAAGTTTTACTGACATTTGCTGCAGACTTGGGTCCAGATATCAGCCTCTGAGCATGTCTAGAAAAATCCCAGCAGCTTTATCAAATCCCGTCAGGGACATTCAACAATCCAAGCCGTGGGAACTGGGGACCAGTTAAGACCCAGATCCTGACAGGAGAGTCATTTATGAAAAACCTTAATGTACAGGACTTTATGAACAGAACATTCACATCTGACTCATACCACTACACGTTTCTCAATGGCAGTTGTTAATATCAAGATCTGGTTTTTGTCTTGAATATGAACACACTTACTCGGTCTCCTTTGGGTCCTAGGCGACCAGCCGGTCCTGGCTCACCTGGCTGTCCGGGAATACCCTTGAAAAAAAAGGTATATAGTACTTAACACACGTAATGGAAGAACCCATTTTGAATTAACTCTATTTTTATTCGCCACTTAACCAAGTCGACTCAAACACATGCACTGCAGCTGTTCACTTCGGTGAACTGATTGCCAAAGATTAGTGATCTTCACATGCTTAGAGATCAATCATAGATCATATTAGGAAGAATAAAAGTGTCGAACTTGAAATTACAGAAATCTTCAACCCATAAAGTATACTACTCAAAAAATGTTAAGGACCACCCGATTCTTTCATATTACTATAGTTAATCTTTCAGGGTATGGTATGACAGATAAACTATAGAATCGGGAAGTCCAAAACCTTTTTTAGTCGTACAGATCAACAAGCTTATCTGTCAGATAGGGCCTGATTTTCCTGAACTTCCTTCAGCACTAGTAAGGGATATGACAGTGAGCAACATTAGGCTTAAAAAAAAGAAGAATTGGTTGGGTTTTTTTTTTAATATATAGTGCGGGCGGGCCGTGTCCTTTATTTTTTCTTAATGTTTTTTTTTAGCGGGGGTGGGGAGGGCTCCCTACATAAATGCATTCCTTTATGAGTAAATAAAAGTGGAAATAAAAACGAAATGTGTGGCAAAGTTTATAATGATGTGGGCGGTGCCTGAGAACCAAGATTGTTATTTTTCCAGCTTTGCAGCTGTCACAAAGTAGTGGCTGATACTGCAAGGATTATTGGTGCCTATTATATCCCTGATGCAAAGCAAATTTAATTTATTGTTAACTTCTTTTACAACAGACAAATGATTAACATAGGCGACAGATCGTTTAACACTGCACTGTACTATAACAAAGTTTCCAATCACCATGAGCCATTTGTTGTTAACACCACACTCAGCGATATTCCAGCTACATGACTGCAGTCTAAAAATATATCGAGTCTGGACCAGACAATCCAGTGATTGAGATCATAAGCATCGATCTACACAATGGGGATACAATGAAATGCATCAACCCAAGTCAGTGAGCCTGACCACCTGATCACATTAGTCACCTCCTATGACAAGCATAGTGGTCTCTTACAAGAAGCATGGGTCGCTGAACGCCAATTTGAGCAAGTGGAAAGGTTGTGCAAGGTAATACAACAGTTCAACACACCAATATCAAAACTTCCAAGTATGGATCAAGACAACAAAATAACCCAAAAACATGTATGAAAATGGCGGGACAATAGCAACTTAAAAGTGAAACAGAAATATAAAAGAACAAGTGCCCAAGAAATTTAAAAAACAATATCAATTTGAAGTTACCTGTTCCATTCTGTGGCAAAATAGTACAAAATCACTATTAGGACATGTGGCCATGTGCAAACATAGAAATCATCAAATATCCGTGTACGAATATTCATATATTCTGTAACATAATGATATTGAATCCATTAAAAGTATATATCCGTCTGAAGTTGTAAATACATGCTCACATATCTTGTCATTATGTGTTTTAAATTATCATCATATATCATAACCCCATTAGAATGTTTATTTTACAGTGTGAGAGTTGAACAAAGGGAGTTAACTCACAGGCATGCCTGGTGTTCCGATAGCCCCTGGGACTCCATCTCGTCCTGGTCGACCGGGTTGTCCAGGGATTCCTGTGGCATTGCCTGCGCCAAATGCTCCTGGTTTACCTGGGTAAGTAGGACAGCATGGTGACCAGTGAAACACAGTGAGTATCAAACACTGGGGTTTGAAACCACAACCAATGGAACCCATCAACTGAATTGTTTGATAGTCATTACTTAGAAGTTGACGGATGACCAGATAAGGATCTATACCAAAACGTCACCTTTACAGTAATTAAAGAAGTTGTTATCCATAAACTGTGTCTACTTTGGAACCTATCAGCTGCTGCCAGAAATCAAAATATTGACCTGGCATTAATAGTGATTTGTGAGTTTCAATTGTTTTTTTTAATTTATCTCCTTCAGTTTGTTGGGTTGGTTGGTTGGTTTGTTGTTGAACGCCTCACTCAGCAATATTCCAGCTATATGACGGCGGTCTGTAAATAATCGAGTCTGAACCAGACAATCCAGTGATTAATATCATGAGCATCGATCCACGCAATTGGGAACGATGACATGCATCAACCAAGTCAGCGAGCCTGACCACCCGATCCCGTTAGTCGCCTTTTACGACCAGCATAGTCGCCTTTTACGGCAAGCATGGGTTGCTGAAGACCTATTCTACCCCGGAACAGTTTGTTGGGAATTCCTTCTTCCAAATAACATTGCTTTGGACCATAAATCCTAAAAAGTTTACTAAAGATGCAAGAATACCTTCACAGACACAAATTGATATACAATATTGAGAGTTCTGATAATTAATGTTTCAGGTGCTGTGTTTCCAAATTGTGTTCACTAGCTGGTAGTGGTGCATGTCATGAATGATTCAAACCTGGTAATCCTGGCACGCCTGGCACGCCCTGAAGTCCCATTAAGCCCTGTAATCCCTGCAGACCCCTGGGGCCCATGGGTCCAACAGGTCCTGGGGGACCAGGTGGACCCGGCAAGCCGTCAATGTCTCCAGATCCAGTGCCATCAACATCGATCATGTTGACCCCTCCAAGTCCAGGATGTCCGGGTGGACCCGGGGGTCCAGGCAGCCCAGGAAGGCCTCTATCTCCTGTCACACTCTGGCCCTGCAACATGTGTGTGGTAAGAGGTAAACTATCGTGGTTATCACAAGAACAGTGCCTTACCTATAACACATGGCGTGGGAGGGAGGTAATCCAGACCATAATGCTTTCAAAAGGTATAGTCCTTACAATAATATATTCATCAACTGTTGAAAAATTACTTTTGGAGTGTTTGATGTGAAACAAAAATGTTATATGCGACAAAATTGCAATTATTAAGGCTACGTTATTTGCGGGGGTGGCTGCATTTGTATACAATTTATAATGATGACACATATATTTTCCCACAGCTACTTACACTGGGCCCCATAGGGCCCCTCAGTCCAGGGGTACCAGGTGTTCCGGGTTCACCATTGCCTGACTCTCCTTTTTGTCCTTTCTGGCCCAGGTCACCTTTGTCTCCACGCTCCAGTTCTGGGATGACGTCAATGGACCCGGGGATGCCAGGGGGTCCAGGTGGGCCTGGTGGGCCCTGCATGGCAACACCGGGCGGGCCCTAGCGGGAGAAAAGGAGTCAATAAAAATGGTGGTAAAGCTGTTGGGCAACTTCTCTACAGCCATATCACAGTGGCCTGTTATACAACTGAACTTCACCAAGAGTATTATTTGTATGACAAAGACAATATTGATGGCAAGATCATGTAAATATGAGGAAAGTCACAGGATTTGACCAAACCATTTTGGGTCAGTTTTCATCTGTTAAACCAGCATTGAAATTTATTGTTTCGTCACGTGATGTGGATCAACCAAACTCATGCAAACTTTTTTTTGGTAACAGATTTTACTCCCCAAAACAGACTCTTGTATAAAGCAAACAACATTAACCTGGTCAACAGCTCAGTGTCCAATTGGATTCTCAGCTGTCTGGGTTGGTTGCTTGCTTTGTTGTTTAACGCCGCACTCAGCAATATTCCAGCTATATGACGGCGGTCTGTAAATAATCGAGTCTGGACCAGACAATCCAGTGATTAATATCATGAGCATCGATCCACGCAATTGGGATCGATGACATGCATCAACCAAGTCAGTGAGCCTGACCACCCGATCCCGTTAGTCGCCTTTTACGACAAGCAGAGTCACCTTTTATGGCAAGCATAGGTTGCTGTAGACCTATTCTACCCAGGAATCTTCACGGGTCTCAGCTGTCTGGGGAGTATGCAACATAAGCAGTATGTCCAAAAAGATTTCATTCACATCACCATCTCATCCTACTTGGTACCTGCCTGTGTAGACGACACACGTTTTATCACATCTTTAAAAAAAATTACCCGAGATCCCAGGTCTCCCTTTTCTCCTCTTGGGCCAGCTTCACCCCTTGCACCAGGTAGTCCTGGCTCACCAATGCCTTGATCTCCCTTCTGTCCTTTCTGCCCAGGAAATCCAGGCTCCCCAACCTGTCCAGGAGTGCCACGATCACCCTTGTCACCTGGTCAAGACAAATGCAGAGATGCACTTGAAAAACATCAGGTATTTTTCTTTCAGAGATATTTGTGTGTTTGTTTATAGTTTCATACCAAATTCAAGCAATATTCTAGCTGTATGACTGTATGATAATCTGAAGTCTGGACCAGAGTATTCATTGATCGATATTAAGAGCAAGGATCCACGCTATCAAGGTAGGGTGACACGCAATCAACCAGTCAGAGTGAGTGAGTGAGTGAGTGAGTTAGGTTTAACGCCGCTTTTAACAGTATTCCAGTTATATCACGGCGTATCAGCTTAATGTGGGAGGAAAGCCTGAAGTGATGCAGGTCTCAGACGTTTACCACTTCGGTGAAACCCACGAGCACGGGTATGGTGCTGACAAACCTAGAAACATAATCGGGGAGAACCGGGATTCGAACCCACAATCATAGGTTTCTGGCGTGCCCAAGGGACGTAACTCTGCACAGCGAATCGCGCCGCCTTTGACGACTTGGCCACCCGTGCCCCCAAACCAGCCAGAGACAATGACCACCGATGCATTAAGTCACATATGTGGGTGGAGAACATATTCTAACACAAATCTCCATGGGGCCTTCAAAGATGCAAGGACTTCTGGAAGTCAGCATGATTGCAGTATTAAGACAACTCAGTAGAAGAGGTGAGGCTAATCCAGCTATTTTCAAAGCATTCATAACAAATCTTCCCCATGAAAATCCGGGTTAGAATTTATCTTCAGCAAGCCATGCTTGTCATAAGAGGCCACTAACAGGACCAGGTGGTCAGGCTCACTGACTTGGTTGATATACATGTCATCATATCCCAACTGTGTAGATCGATGCTCATGATGTCAATCACTGGATTTTTGGTCCAGACTCAATTTTTTCCAAACCTCTATCATATAGGTGGAATATTGCTAGTGCAACATTAAATCTAAATTTGTTGTCGACCATCAACCTCGGAAAGGGCCTCCCTATAGACACAAGCACACAAATTCCTATTGCTGCATGACCATAAAATCAGATGCGCAGAAAGCAGAGCGCATGTCAAGGGAAGTAACTGTGTACTATACTGGATCACATTGTTCATAAGTATTAGGATTTTTGGATTTTTTTAAAATGGAAATAACTGTGCGGCGGACTTTATGATGATGCGGGCAGTGCCTGAGAACCAAGACTCTTATTTTTTTCAGCCTTATTTCAGATAAAAACTAAGTCAGATAGATTGACATCTCTGTACTCACCTCTAACACCAGTGAGTCCTTTCAAGTCTGGTGGGGGTGGTGTTATCATGGGTGGAGGCCCTGGGGGCCCTGCTTCTCCCTTCACTCCAGGATTGCCGGGCTCACCCTTCTGGCCCTTATCACCTGGCTTAGTCTCATCAGGTCGGGAGGGCTGAAACAAGAGGTAGGAGTTTACAGTGAGTGATTGAGAGTTAGTGAGTGAGTGAGTGAGTGAGTGAGTGAGTGAGTGAGAGTGAGTGAGTGAGTATGGTTTAACGCCGCTTTTAGCAATATTCCAGCAATATCATGACGGGGGACACCAGAAATGGGCTTCACACATTGTACCCATGTCGGGAATCAAAATTTATTGTTTCGTCATGTGATATGGATTAACCAAAGAAATTCAAAGAAGCTTAGTATAGGTATAACATTAAGGCGTGTGTTCTTCAATTCTTAGAAACAAGTCATGAAAACTTCATGACTTAATCATTGCACTGAAATTGATCTACAGTATTTAACAATCAGCTGATTGCAACGCCTCGCTTTGGAGGGTTATCAAGTGGTTTATATGTTAAATGCATATTGATAGAATGTTCAGATTTTACATTCCAGTGGATAACTAGTGATGATATCTGTATCCTTGTGGGAAATCACAACTCACTATTGGGCTAGGTGTTCCAGTTTCGATGTCAATGTCGCCCTTTGTCTCATCAGAGCCTGATCCAGAGCCACTAAAATCCTAAAATAAAACCCAAACAAACAGTCATATATCTTGATGTCCAAGAACTTAATTGTCACAAGAGGGATCTGCTAGAGATGGTTATTTCAGTGTTTCAGTGAGTGAGTATGGTTTAACGCCGCTTTTAGCAATATTCCAGCAATATCACGGCGGGGGACACCTTAAATGGGCTTCACACATTGTACCCATGTCGGGACTCGAACCCGGGTCTTCGGCGTGACGAGCGAACACTTTAACCACTAGGCTACCTGACCGCCCCTTCAGTGGTTCAAAAGACACAAGAGATGAACATTTGTACAACATAAACAAAACATACTACACGTGTATAGATAAGATAAAAATGTGCTGACAACAACACTGTTTGTTGATTAATGCCGCACTCAGCAGTATTCAAGCTATATGACAACAGTCTGTAATTAATCATGTCTGGACCAGACAATCCAGTGATTGACATTATGAGCATCAATCCACACATTGGGATACAATGACAAGCATCAACCAAGTCAGTGAGCCTGACCATCCGATCCCGTAAGTTGCCTCTTACGACAAGCAAAGTAGTCGCCTTTTACGGCAATTATGGGTTGCTGAAGACCAATTCTAACCCAGATCATCACAGGTGGGCAACAACACTGAATATTTGAAGGTAGGTGGGTTGTTTTCTTGTTTTACGCCACACAGTGAAATATTCAAGTTATAAGATGGTGGTCTGTAGATAATCGACTCTGGACCAGACAAACAAGTGATTGAGCATTGATCCACGCAATTGGGAGACAATGAAATGCAATCATCCACGTCACTGAGTCTGACCACCTGATCCATTTAGCTGTCTCTTACAACAAACATACGTTGCTGGGGACCTATATTCTCAACCACAATCCCCATGGGTGTCAGATAGGTAGATGAATAGAGGAGACAATTGTCATGGCGACTGATCTACAGGATGGTAAATAGGGCATACTCACAAAATTGCATTCGTCATCTTCAGCCTCTGCTGGGTTTCCATATATTTTAACATCTTGTAAGGCTCCCTGAAATAGAAGAGAAAACATCAGGGCAAGTTCCATAGCAGAGATAGAAACTAACAGTTTTAATCCACTAGTCCTAATAATGATACATATAGCAAAACCCTTAAAAATGGCAAATTTCTACTCTTTATGATACCTTAACTACTGGGCAGTTTGGCAAGGCCTATAGGACTAGTGCCAATTTCTAAGGCTGAATAGCATACCACTTGTTGATAGATCATGGTTTATTGTAGTAGACGATACTCAAGAGAAACTAAATTAAAAGCCATATTGTTCTGTTGTAAGTTCCAAGCGAACTACACTATCAGCAACATATACTACCTCAAAAGAAGTTGATGGTCACCGATTATTTCACATGCCACGTGACAGATAAACTCTAGCAATATGAAATAAGCGTGTAATCCTTCACTTCTTTTGAGAAGATGAAATGGGTCTTTTCCAGATCAACCGTGTCTACCAAGCAGAAGGCAACAAAAGGTGATTGAAGCACCTGTAAAATACCCACATAACCAATGCGTCACAACACATGGCAGCAATGCTTGATAAAGATGTCACCTATGATTTATGTACATGGCAGTTGTTACCCACCAGTAGAATAGCTTATTCCACCTGTATGTCTGTCATAAACAACCATATCATCTGAGTTTGAAAAAATCTGTTCATGCTCATGTTGCATTTTGTTGGTAGATCATGTGAGTGGGTGAGTGAGTGAGTGAGTGAGTGAGTGAGTGAGTGAGTGAGTGAGTGAGTGAGTGAGTGAGTGAGTGAGTGAGTGAGTGAGTGAGTGAGTGAGTATGCTTTTACGCTTTAACCAGTAGGCTATCCGACCGCCCCAGGAGTTTAGAGCATATCACTGAAGTCTGTTAAACCTGACATGTTAATATGTATTTATGAATATTTTGTATGAGAATACATAATGGTAGGAAAAACATATGCATACTGGACAAAAAATAAATCTTCGGCGTGATAAGCAAACACCTTAACCACAAGGCTACCCGACAACCCCCATGTGATAATGTAGTAGATACACACAAATCTTCAGGGGTAAACATGAAGCTGCTGACTGGCTGACTTAACTATTGGCCTTAATCCTTCCATGAACATATGTACTACTGAATCAATTGTAATATGAGAGGTGAAAATCGTTTTTTAAAATGTCAACTTATGGTAATCTTAAATCATTCATATTTCATTCCCATAATGATCACTGGAGGCAAAAAATAACAGTAATAAGAACTGCACAAGATGACAAGTTGAAGATTATTTTCTCTTTGGAGCATGTCCACTTGTCAGATGGCAAGGATTAAATTACCATCTCCTTATCCTAGATTAACTGTGGACTGTTACGACAAGTAAGGGTCCACAAGTGTATAGATCAACAGACTATGGTTAACTAAACAATGGCACATTGTAGTACTTGACTGACTTTGTATTTTTCAAACCATAGAAGTCAAGGAGACAGTATCTTCTTACGAACAGGAAGCACAAGTAGGTAGCCCTGGGTATCCAGGAAATACACTATAATATGACACCCCATTATTATCATGAATAAACAGGTTGGACTCTAATAAAGTGGGAGTATGTTTGGGTCATGCATCATGTTTTTCAGAATAATATCGAAAAGAGATTTACAATTTTCCAAAAGCCACAGAGATGGTGAGTATAGTTTTACGCCACTTTTAGAAATATTCCAGCAATATCACAGTGGGGGACACCAGAAATGGTCTTCACACATTGTACCCATGTGCTTTTAAGAGTAATGAGAATAGTATTACCAGAGTTTGACATGATATTAGGATTACATCCACATCACATTAGTTCAAAGATTCAGAGCACAATAAAAATGAGACCTGTCTGTTGTAATTACAGCAGTCTAATGCTGTTGTTAAAGTCATTCATATCCAAGATGTCAAAATTTTAAGAACAAACTAGTACTAAAGCAACTACTGGAACTTGATAGTAGTGTAAGTGAGTTAACATTTTATGTCGCATCAGCAAATTTTCAAAATGGGGTCAAACATGTGGCCAAGCAAGTGTGAAAACAGGGCATATGGTACCAAGGATATATTACTACGTATATCATAGTTTCTACTTCCTACCTGTCAATGAATGGGATCCAGATGCCTCATAACGGTTAACTGACCATGTGATAACATGACACATGGCGGTCAAGCATGTGGCTCAAGTACTGACCGTTGAATATTTGGTATATCACATATACATCTTGTCAGAGAGATCAAACAAAGACTACACAGCGACCACCAGTGTCAATGAATACCAGATATATCACATGTAAGCCAAGTTCTGGCATGTAAAATGCCTTGTTGACATAACAAACACTGATGTCAAATATGTTATATATCATATATCCAATCATACGCCACATTGGCCACTGACCATACCAATTATTGTACACCTGATATATCATACGTCCATGGCGGAGTATGGAGCATCACCCCAATTGGCTACTGACCACTCCAGGTATTGAATATCTCGTATATCACATGTCTGTAGACAAGTATGTGTATCTCCTACTGAGTGCTGACAGATGCATGTCAAACACTTCACTAACAGGTGTGGCACACAGAGCATGCAGTAGGATGAGAGGTGTAAGAAAGGCCTCCTCTTCAACATACAGGATGACCATCAATGCATACATCCTGTGCAAGGAGGGATTCTTGAACACTAATTCCTATCATAGTATCTTGAGGCTGTGTGGCTATGAAAAGAATATCCAAAATATGTCAATGCTGGAATGCTTTTTGTACAAGAACTGGTTCTTTACTCAGTAACCCTTTGAGGTTGATGGTATTGTACATATCACAAAAGAACTGTCTTGTGCAACTTGCATGCCATTGATGACGGCTGATAAGTGTGTCACTAGCAATTTTGTTTTTTAAGTTAATGAATGATTACTACCTACAAATGAGATACAAACTTTTGGATCAGAAGTGATGGCTTTAGGAATATAGACCATTTTTGTTACCTAAGCAGTGATAAATTGTAGTAACAGATATATTGAAGGGCAATATTATTAACCATACACCTCAGCTGAAATATGAATATTGTCAACTTTCAAAGGTTTATATTTAGGGACAACTTTTGGGGCTCTTTTCACTATTGTGATTGTATTGTGATAGTAGTAAACCACTTTTAAGACTTGATATTTTATCATTTATTGTAATAGAAATGAATAATGTATTGGCCATTTTCCTCCCTGTTGCAAATCAAACCAAAGGGATGTAACTCTATTATGAAGTTGTCGTAATTCATGCTAACCAGCACACAGGTTGGTATGAAATTTACATAATTAATGTCATAATAATAACCAATTTCAACTATTGAAACTATCGATTGTTTTTCATACAATCTAAAACAATTGCAATGCATCCACAGTTCAATATATTGTAACATTCCTAATTATGATCATTTGCTCAAACACTTTTCATGTGTATACAGAAAAAATGATATCTTAAAACCAAACCAAATGCAAATTAAACTGACCAGAAAACATGCTTACTCTGCATTGTTCTTTGAGATTTTGAATAAGACCTGTCTAAAGAAAGGTGATCTGTTGCATCTGCAAGTTGTACTTGAATACCACTTCCATGAACAAGAACACATGCTGGAAAGTAATACATCCTACTAATAGAGACAGACATTTATACCTAGTCAGACTGCTTTCAACCAGTAAAAGGTGTTCAAAGTAGGTAAGGCAATCATACCACTGTCTGAAGCCAGTTGTCACATCAAAGCAGAAGAAATCAAGACACACAAGAAACAATTTACCGGAAGGCGAGTGCACACCTCAACAGACAAGTCAAGTCTGACCGCTATGGACATAAAGAAAGTCAGGAATCCTAAAAGTATTTCATTGGGTGGCCTGACTGTCTACACTGCCAGACGTTATCAATCGTATCACCTGACCATGTTCATTGGCTTGATGTTACAGAAAATTGTAGACATGGAACACAGTACCTTGTCTCTAACAAACTGCCTGCACATCCATCAGGATGTCTTAATGTAGCTTACTGATCACTTCAAACACCACTTTGGATTAGTATCCAAGTATTGCTAGGGCATGCATGGCACAACAAATTAACAATCTCATTAAAATCAGATCTTAGTTTTCGCTACCGCTAACCAAAGATCTGAGGACATCCCATTACGGGTCACGTCAGAATGACCTTCCGCAAACATTGACCGACCAATGAAATAACTGACAAGAAATCGACATTAGCCAACCAGAAGGCAGCTTTCTCGGGCTTTACGGCACTAGTTTCAAACTGGCGACTACGTTCAATTATAAGGGTCCTTGCAGACAAGATAATTACTTAGATAATTACTTCGGAATGAATCAGTGATCATGTGGACAGTGTTAATGATTGATGGATGAAATTACAAACACCCATAACTGCTCTTTATGCGCTGTAGGTACAATCAATATTATTGTGCCCTCGGGTATATGTTTTTGTGCATCCATTCTCTACATTGTGCTTCTGGAGGCACATTTGTGTGTGGCATAAAACCCTGCATATGTAGGTCTGACGACATCATGGTGCATTCAGTATTGGCACCATTGTCTCGAACAGATAAGTTGATGTACTTCTGATGTGACTTCATTGACTTGTCACTTTGTGGCACCTCATCTTCAGCATCCCAGCTATTCTTGTTTTGCTTGCTGTCTTCTATCCTTAATTAACAGTAATCTGATGCAATCTTACAAACATTGCCGAAGTTGCGCAAACAAATTATTTCAGCACTGTTTGCCCAATGTAATCGCCTTCGGAGTATTACCTTGAGCACTTGCCAGTTTCCACAGTAACCATGAAAACAAGATGAAACAGCTTGCTCTTAAATGTAAACTTTTTACATTCATTTTTACATTTTGAGTAAAGCTAATAGGAATTATGATATTCAAATTATATTTGTATATTTCTAATTAAAAGATACCCAGTTGGGTTTAAGGAGCTGTTAGTCATTGTTGATACTTTTTGCCCCCTTTTCAATGGGTAGTTTCAGGCAGCTCAATGTAAGCACTGCAACACCTCAACATCTTGAATACCAAATCTTGACACAAATACTAATCACAATGTAATGAGTAGCCTTCTTTGGCCATTTGTCTCTGCCCTGACAAAAAAATACATCTTTTACATGTTCTTTTTTTAAAAATGTATAACAGTTAGCACAAAACAATCTCATGGAATTATGCACGTCGAAACTCTACATTCCACATAAACAAGTAATCTTACAGTATGTTCAGCTCAGCTATATTGTTCATCTCTGTATTAGGAATGCTTTTTGGTCATTTTTATCCTATGAAAACAGGTCAACAACTGCGTAAACATGACCAAATTGTTTCTACATCTCTAAACTGTTATGGTAATTGGACGTCTCCTGCCACAGGTATTGGCCATGTGTGGTGTGGTATTCTAGGACTTGCAGACCTACATCTACATGATTGTTACCACAAATCTTTCTATTTCTGTTGTTTGATAATCAGAACATGGTGCTCTTGTCTCGTCTGATAAACTGAGTTTGCCCTTTACGGAGAATGGCCGATATCAGATATGAAAGTAACATATTGGAGACTTCTGTTCCTAGTTGTGTACTGTCCAGAGATGCTTACAGTCCTCTTGAGTAGACAGACCTGCTACAACAAAACATTGCAGTCTTGACCACATGTTCTCCCAGTTATCTAGACCCTCTAGATATTCGCCCCACTCAAAAATAAGTATAACTTACCAGACTGGAATTTTCTAAAATCCAAATCTAATATAAGGACCAGCAAACATAAAGGTCTGACAGCTTTGCTACATCACTGCTAATAATTTTAGTTGCCAATTTGCCTGACAAGGAAACTTTGTTTGACACTGTATCAGAGGTGAGGGGAAATGGGGTTTAATGTCGCATCCATGATTATTGCACTGGTGTGCGTGCGTGCCTGCGCGTCTGTGTGTGCGAGCGTGTGTGTGCATGTCTGTGCCTGCTTGTAGTGCCTAGTTTAACATGAATACCCCACTCAGACACAGTATACTGAATCTGAGCTGACCAGTCCTTGTTTTAGCCCCTTAATGCCAAATGCCATGTAGGGTAACAACAAGTACCATCCTTTAACGTCTTTTGGTATGACACAGCATGGTATCGAACCCTGGACCTTCCGCTCTCCGGGCATATGCCCTATCCACTAGACCACAGAGGCGGTCAGTTGTATCAGAGATAGGGATTGAACTAGGATTTCAGTGTGAAGTGATTCAGAAAGCAATGTATTACATGGGCAAGTTTGGTAAACGTCCCAGAATTAAAGTCATATTCAATTAGTTGAAGAGAAAGGTCTGAAGTAACATGTTCCCAACGTTGGTGAAATTCACAAGTACAGGTCTGGTGTTGACAAAAGACTATAATCAGGGGTAATGTAGGATTCATACCCAAGACATGTGGAACCTTGCATCGCTAATCCCTCCCCCCTCCCTTCCCTTTCAAAAACACAGTAAGTTGCAGCTCTTGACATCACAAGTTCCTGTTTCCCAAGAAATATTACCTAAGACATCAACTGTCACTCACTACTGATTAAAGTATTGAACATCTTACTGAGAATAGATTACTAAGGATGACTGCCCCCAAAACAGCTTGAGATGACATGACCTATCCTGGAAATGAAATCTTCTCGACTGCACCGACTGTGTATATTTGTCCATGATCCAATCACCTATACAGCAGCAACCTTCCCAAAGCAAACATCACGAAGAAGTCTAGGACCATGGTTTGTTTATATGTGTAACACTACCACATGATTTTGAAAAAAAATTGTCAATAAACTCAGGAAATAAGAATAAATAAATACCATAATAAACTGTCCTCCAACACGAAAATAACATCACAAAGAACAAAACAATATGCCTAATGTCATATTTTTAAAACTTGATTCTTTTTTTATGGTTACCTTCTTAACAGAAAAGCCTATTATAGCAAACAAACTTAGCAAATATATAAATACATGTGTTTTTATAAACAATTCATCATGTTCAGCAGGCTGGTGGAGGCATGAATCATGTCCTATCACACTTGGTAGAAAGGTCAGGACAATTTGTTACAGTATTTTGAATTTCCCACCCTTCCGCCACTCTGACAAGGCTTTCCAAGTAGGCAATAACTGTATGCTATTATCAATATGGGGACAATATGTAACATATCTACTGGTTGATATCATAGGTTAGAGGTCGTCCGCACGCATTCCTATACCAACTATTATCATATGAGGAGGATGTGAGAAACAGTCTGTATACCATGGCGCCTGCCTGCTGGTGCACATTGGTGCCAAGCTAAAACCACAGTATGTCGGTCGATGAACTACCAAGGGGGTTGATATGTCAAGTACCTGTTTTACTTCACATGTATACAGATTTTTTACCCAGAATTACCTGTGTATAAATAGTAACAGTAGTAAGACTCAATTCTACATGTGACTCTCCGTTCCTTCACATTGTAAAAACATGCTGCTCAGCTGCTAAGGACAGCATGTGTGCTACATTAAATTGTCCTTTTTGTGCCATTGCTGTCAATTCTGGAATTAACCGAGTATGTGTGGAAAACGTTGAGAGACATGAATGCACTATGCAGACATTCAGACAGGCATATGTGTGTTACTGTGCGTTTTTGAGTAACATGTAAGATACCATGCATATGTACATCTATTGTAACTTCTTTGAGCAGCATTGTACTAAGTAACTGATATTTAAGTCCAACTGGGTGCCATTGTACAAAACAACCTGAGCACTACGACTGTCGTAAGTCTATGTTAGGGTATTGGAGTTACAATTACCTTTGAGTAAGTGAGTATGGTTTAACGCCGCTCAGTACCCTACAATGCCACATTTGTACTTACCTCAAACTTTGACTTGAAGTTTGGTCCAGCTTGGGCTATGAAAACACTTGATCCTGGTTCAAAATCCAATTCTCCACTTTTTCGATTATAGAAAACCTTTTCAGATTCTTTGCAATTAAGATAGAGTGTTATTGTATCCTCTTCAACGCGCAGGGCAATTTTTGTCCACTTATTTACCGTGGAATCCACAGTGAAGGAAGCAATCACACTAGATATCTCTGCAAACTTGGCATCTGGTGTGTAGTATAAAGTAATGACTTGCTTTGTGGGCTCCCGAGGTGAGTCTGTTATACTGACTCCAAACTGAATAACTGTTTGGTAGGTATTCACCACTGCAAATATGAAACCACCACTTTGTGTGTAGGGTTTCAATGTCATTATTACAGCAAAATCCCTATACAAGGGTTTTCGGAAATATATCTGCGACGGTTGGCGTATAAATGCTTCTTTACTAAGAGTAAATGTTGGGTATCCATCGATTCCTGTATCGTAGCCAATTCCTGGCCTTCCATCTGATGGTACTCCTATTGCACCAAGAAGGTCGATCTCTGAAGACGCCTCAGCATCTGAAAGAAAGACATGGACTGTAAGTACTAAGTAATTCAGAAACAGAAACATTTGTAGTAGCATGCTTATTGCTACCTTAACTTATACTGAACAAAAAGGTTATGGCTCATAATATTTTGGGGAATACTTTTTTGTAGTGAAGATTGAACACACAAATTCATGAAAATATCCCCCAAAATATTCAGGATGATCATTAACACTTTTTGTTCAGTATATAAATATATATATATATATGTTCAGCATCTATCAATATCTATCTATCTTACTCAACAAAAAATTATAGGGATCATTTTTATGAAATTGTCAATGTCATAAGGTAGTATCTGGAGTGTCACTCCCCTGAAAAAGAACGATCTGTCATACACACTGGATATACCAATAGTTTCTGCCCATGAGTATACAGGGTTTCTTCCAACATATCACAAAAGGGTACTCTTCAGGAGAAGACAAAGACCACAGTATCAGCATGTCTGACACAGAACTAACTAGTGAATGGCCTTCATTAGTCATGGACTTCAGCTGTCTGATCCATTCAAACATGAGAGTTATAGACATGGGTAAACTTAACAATGATTTCAGTGCTTTGACAATTAAAAGTTTTTGTTCACATTGGAGTTACCGTACTCGTAGCGATAAGATTGCCTTGTGAAAAAGCCTATGAGTGAGATGTACAAGTACTGCTTTTAATAATGTTCCAGCAATACCAAAGGTACACCAAGATTCTCATCTTTCCTGGGAAATCAGATCGAACCAAGAAATAAAATAGAAAGGAGTTATAAATCTCAATCTAATCTATGAATTCAAAGTCAACTACAGATACCAGAGAGTGAGTGAGTTGGGTTTAACGCGGCTTTTAACAGTATTCCAGTTATATCGCAGCGTGTCAGCTTAATGTGGGAGGAAAGCCCGAAGTGATGCAGGTCTCAGACTTTTACCACTTCGGTGAAACCAACGAGCACGGGTATGGTGCTGACAAACCTAGAAACGTAATTGGGGCGAACCGGGACTCGAACCCACAATCATAGGTTTCTGGCCTGCCCAAGGGACACAAATCTGCACAGCGAATCGCGGCGCCTTAGACGACTGGGCCACCCGTGCCCACACTACAGATACCATGTGTGTCTACATATCCATCAGATTCTTGTGTAACTATAACCCTGCTTTACACTGGATAATTGCCACTTTGAGAGAGGCATGTAAGTAGGGCAATGTCAGCATGTCTGTTCACAGGAGTGTGGCCTCAGACATCTCCTACATCATATCAACCTGGGCAACCTGTTTATGCCCTACTTGAGCAGACTGTCTCCTTAATGTTGGGTCCTCATTACAACTACATGCATCAATGTCGTCTCATAAAGAAACATGGGTCATAAATCATCATATACAACCCAAGAATGAAATTCAATATTAACTTCTTGGCTCGATCATCAATAAAACCAACCGTATATATAGATATGCACTTATATTTTACACCTGGGTTTGACAATTATACAAGTACACTACAAAAGTGCCAATAAACATTATTAGGACAAGTAGTCTCAACATCGATTGGCTGACAGAATATATACAATGTCACTGTCCTTATCGTTTTTACCTTCACAGCTTCAAGCTTCAAGAAAATGAAAGAGCAGACATTGCCAGAATATTACAGATAGATGTAAAAAATATGTGATGAAGACACATGTGAGAAAAAATTATTTGCAGTTTTCTGTTGAATGAACAATATGTCTGTGATGTAATTTCTGACACCAGTCTTTATAGGAAAAGAAAGAATATTTCAATCAACTGCAACAAGGGAGACAACTTTGTCAATCACAACTTGGCGCTCAATTTAAATGTTCCATCCAACAACAAAGAAACAAATATATCTATTTCACAATCACTAGGTTGTGAAATTATACATTTAAGCTGTCTTTTGCCCAAACTGCCAGTTATGGAAGTCCATTCCTTCAGTTCCTTTTCCCAAACTGTTTTTAAACCGGCCTTGCCTGCTCACTTATCGGGGACAGTACTTTATGCTCTAGCACTTTAAATGCCTGTGTTGAATAACCACACTCCAGGCTGCTGCCTGACATTAGAAGTGTATGAACCATCAAAAACACTTTAAAAGTCGCTCTGAAATAACCAAGCCATTATAACACTGCCTCGTGACTCAACAAGCTTACTCAACATGGAGTCATAGGGTCATCTGCGCAATATATCTGTGACTACCAGTGTGCTCAAACTGTGAAATCTATGCTAATATGATAATATGATCTTCCTCCCAAGCCAGAGCTTGTCTCACAATTCACCATCTTAACTGTCAGCACACAAGAACTACATGCAGCTTTTTCAGTATATATAGATGGTGTAAAGAAAAGGTGAAGTGCCTTGTTAACAGCTGTGACAAATGCTGTCCCATCTCAGTGAGTATAACTTGCAAAATATGAACACCACTTATGGCGGAGCTGCAGATACAGGACTTGCTTACACATCTACAAACACCTGGTGTCATTGCTGTGACTTTATAAAGGTTCATGAGTGCTCGTTCTTGAACGTCACTTCCATTTTGTTCGCATTTGTTACTTCTCTTGTAACACAGAAATGAAGATAGAACTTGTGTAAAGTCGTATTGATGATCTTAACAATTTTAAAGTGGAAGACTGTTGTTCAGTGCCAAAGTCAGCATATTACAGAAAAGTTATTGTTAGACAACCCTCTAAATTCAAGCCTTCACAAACCCTGAATAATCTCTTGAGGAATAATATTTCAATTGCGCCTTTCTCGTTGAGCCATCTTGTATCCTAATTAACATAATTCATACCTCGCAAAGCCTCACACTTGTCTGAACCTGAAAAGGCACTTCAAATCTGTTTGATGCATAGCACACTTAATTAGCGTTCTGCACATGATAGGTAAGTTCTGTAACACTCTTGTTAACCTGATGCCTCTCTCACTATCAGAAGGCTCTTTATGACCTTTGAAGAACTTACCTATGCATCCACTGGTGTTCAATTTAGACTTGTTAACATGTGGGCTCATGGCCCTTGACTTCTCATATGTGGGCGTTCTATGGGTCATCAATGACGAAGAAACCATACTAGTAGTAAATTTATTGCATGACTTGAAGTTTTCCATTCAGTTCTAAGTAGAAACAAACATATTTTCATGTCTTTGTGTACTGTCTGTATAATGAGTGACTTGTCTGAGAATCAGCAAAAGAATGTGTGTGCGTATTTGTCATTTAACACGGCACTCAGCAATATTCCAGCTATGTGATGACAGCCTGTAATAAGAGTCTGGATCGATATTACGATTGACAATCCACACCTTCAGCGTACATTGACACGCCTCAACCAAGTCAGGGAGCCTGACCACCCGATCCATAAGTCACCTCTTACAACCATCATCGGTTGCTCAGGACAATTTCTAACCCAGAATCTCCAAAGGTACTTAATTAAGTCGCCTCTTATGACCACTTTCTACCACGTGTCACCATGGAGCAGCGAGAGACTGTGTGTCACCATCAGTAGCCTAAATGTGTGTAGCTTGGTACAGACTAATAGTGGCCTTCCTTTTCTGCACTCATGCTTCTATGACCATAAAAATTAGGTGCCTTATCCATTGTTTCCAACACAAGGAAAATAAGGGATTGAATAGATAATGAAAATACAAATAAGTTACATCAAGAAACCATTCTTGAGATAGTGACAAGAGTCTATCTATTCCATGACCTTCCACTTTTTCAAGGCCAATATGACTTACTCGTCTTGTCCTTGCATCAATTTTTACGCAATCTTGTCAAAATAAGGAAATACCATTGGGCCTTATCTAATCTATGAGCTAAATCACATCAAAACATCAAAATAGCTTTAACCTGTATGGTGGTAAAAGCATAATGAATTAGACTACATCAACATCACCATAAAAAATAACCTTCTTAAAATGTGTTTCGGCACAACAATGCATACAAACAAATTTGTAAATATGATTGGATGAAATCATCAAATAGTTTCTGACAAATCGTGTTAGCTTAGTTACACACTTGACAGTGCACACTTTAAAAAAAAATATACCAAGTGATAAATTACAATAGTAAATTAGATTTTAACTCCCTGTTAAAATATTAGCATATATTTTACTCCATTTGTGATTTGCAAGCCCATATATGTTATCCCAGACTGTGTATAAACCATGTTCAAGTGTAGATATTTCAATATATCAATGTCACTTCCAGCACTACTCTATATATGCCGGCAACTTTATTCAGGACAATCAAAGAACTTGATTATATCTGCTCTAACTGTAAGCTGACATGCTTGTATTTGCACAATCGTCAAAGCAAACATCAGCAAACACACACGAAATTAAACTATTGTTGCCCATTTCTGTTTGAACAAATTTTTTGTCTCCTTAAGAAATATTAAGCAAATAAGCCTATGATAAGGCCAATGCTGTACAAGTACTGGCATTGGTGTTGAAATGGTTATGCCTCCTATATCAGAAGGGCAGTCGAGCATTAAACACTCGGAATGTCGGGCTTTGTTGTCCATAGTGGAGGACCTTGTCAAAAACTTGCATTAATTAAAAGCCGTGTCTGACATACTCACCCACAGTGTCCCATCCATGAATATCTTAACACTTATGAAAAGATGGCAGCCATCTTGAATATTTATGTACAAAGACAAATTCTCTGCTTCAAGAGCTGGTTAAGTAATATTATGAAACCTGGGCATTAAAATGCTGAAGGAGCTAAAATGAGGCAAATATTGAGACATACAGCCCTGTGTCTACAGCAACAACACAGACCTAGGATAACTGATGGCACCAGACATTTGTATTCTGTGTACTGATCATGAAGTGGCATGCCCATTCAAATGTAAATGAAGTGTTCTAACTGGCTATGATGAAATGAATACAGGGCAAATTCCTCTCTCATTTTGCTGAATAAGCATGCTAAAAAGTTGTTAAACTGCTTGAGAAAACTGATTCGTCATACAGACATATTTCATTGTGAGTA